TGTGACCTAGTTCACTCCAGTGAGCAACTGCTCCTGGGGTTTATGACTGCGAGAGTCACCAGGAGATCTGAGTCTGGCAGGGGGTCCTTGGGTGTTTAATTTAGGCTAGGGAAGTTCACTCAGTTCCAGCCCCACGCTTAGTTGATGTTGCTGGGAAAACAGGACAGAGCCACCTCACAGAATTTGTTTCTGTCCTGGCTAACTTCCTTAGCAGGTCAGACGCTGCTACAGCTGATAAAAAACTCAGCCCTGGGCAGCAAACAATTAGAGTTTACACTCAGGTGTCAATTCCAGCCTCTGCTCGCCCACTGCCTTTGTCTCAGCTATATTCCTCTGAGGGCTAGGTGCTATTATGGTCTCTTTACTCACAACTTCCCAAGTCCATTCTGCCAGTTGCTGCTGCCCTAACCTCTGGTTTCCCAGAGAGACAGGGTGTGCCTATCTGGGATGGCCTCAGGGATGTGAGCCTTTCCCGCTGCTGCAGCTGTTGCTCTGCAGCTCCTGTATGGCTTCCTCTCAGCTGACGGTCCTCTGCTTACTCCCGTGCCACAGAGTCATTACAGACCACTCCTCTCAAGGAAATGCCCAAGAATCTGGACTCCATGGGTGACAAACCTCTAGACCTTGGGGAGGGGAAGTGGGGCGGAATCCTGGGAGTTCAGAGTTGTAAGTAGAGAATATATACAGTTGTATACAGTTTTAGGGTTTTATGCCTGGCAGGAGGGTGCCATGGCACGCCAGCAGGGGTAGGAACTCCAGTCTTTAGGGGGTCTCTCCCATGGGATAGAGTGGGAGGATGTTTGAACTCTGCTCGCTTGTTTGTATGGAGTAAACTGCGAGCCCTTCTTGTGGGGGAGGGGACTCCCGTCTGCTTGGTGGTGGATTTTGCACCTTTTAATTGTATTTTTGGGATCGCAGCTTGCCTCAGCAACCTTGAAGTGTGTTCCTCAGTCTTCTCTCTTGGCTCAGGTCCAGACCATCAGCTCACTTGCTAAACTTCTGTCCTTTAAGTCTCTTTCTGGATGGGAGCCTCTGTAGAAAGCTGGCTGCAGTCTACCATCTTGCCTCCGCCCCCAGTCATCCCTTACTCTAAGAATCATTCAAGAGTCAAGTTTCTATACTTTTTTTCCTACTAAGGTGATGAAGTAAGTAATGATGTTGAAACTGGCATTAGGACAGTAATATACCCGGGTATTTTGCCACTTTGAAAGTAAAAAGATGTTATTTTTCTGTCTTCTTAGTTTTCTTTTTCTCCAGTGCTTACAAGAGCTCTGGAAAACACAATGTTTTCTAGAAAAGCACACATATTTATTTGCAAACTTAGGAGCATTTTCTAAAAGTGTGCCAAAAATCTGTATATAATCTTTTTTAAAAAAATTTATCTACTTTCACAAGCAAAGTTACTAAAATTTGTTAGTGTTTTGCTATACTTCTAGTCTAGTAAATTGAGTAAATGCACTTTCAGAAAATCATTTTTATTAGTAAAATATTGGAGTCCTTAGAAACTACATATCATCGTGTCTAATTTGTTACAGTTAACAAACTTGTTTGACTTGAAAAGTTGTTAAAACTGACAAACTAAACAAGACCGTGTGTGTGTGTGTGTGTGTGTGTGTGTATGTGTGTGTGTATGTATATATGGTATCTTCTCTATTTCCTTAGCAACTTTCTTACCCTTCCATATATATTTTTCAGGGGGGAAGTATTGAGAGTAGGAAATTAGTACTAACTTCACTGTTATTCTTTCAGTTGTGATGTATTTGATTATCCAAAATGTTGTGCTATCCTCAGTAAGCCATTATGCCTGTCTATCTATCCGTCTGTCTGTCTGTCTCCCCACCCCACCCCACCCCCACCCCCCCGGTCACCCTGGGTAGAGTGCTGGAGTGTCAGCCTATCTCATAGCAGTCTCAAACTCCTGGGTTCAAGTGATCCTATTGCCTCAGCCTCTCAAGTAGTTGGGACTACATGTGCTGGCCACAATACCCAGCTAATTTTTCTATTTTTAGTAGAGACGGTGGTCTCACTCTTGCTCAGGCTGGTCTTGAACTCCTGAGCTCAAGCAATCCACCTGCCTCAGCCTCCCAGAGGGCTAGGATTACCAGGGTGACCCACCTATCCAGCTTATTCTAACAGTTTAAATTAGTATATTCAAGAGGTCTTTTGGTTACATTATTACATTATGTACTATTATGCTAAAGGTCTAACCCAGTGCAGTAAAGCAAGAGAAAGAAATAAAATGTATCCCAGTTGGAAAGGAAGAAGTAAGTCTGTCTTTATTCACAAATGATATGGTTATCCATGTAAAAAATTTGATGGACTCTGGGCAGTGCCTCTGGCTCATAGGAGTAGGGCACTGGCCCCATATACTGGAGGTGGTGGGTTCAAACCTGGCCTCTGCCAAAAACTGCAAATATATATATATATATATATATATATATATATATATTTTGATGGTCTCTGCAAAAAAGCTATTAGAGCTGGAAAGTTTAGCAACAGAGTTGAGCATGATGGCAGAATACTAGGTCAGTGTAAGAAAATCAATTGTGTTGATAAATCAATTTCTACATTTAACAATGAAGAACCAGAAATCGACATTTATAAAACAGACGTTGCCATTTACAGTGGCATCATAACATGAAATACTTAGGGATAGATTTGACAAAATCAATGGAAAACCTGTAGACTGAAAAGTTTGATAGAAATTAAACGAGGCCTAAGTAAATGAAGAGAGGTACCCCCTTATGAGAAAGAAAATGCATTTTTTTTTTGAGACAGAGTCTCACTATGTCACCCTCAGTAGAGTGCTGTGGTGTCACAGCTCACAGCAATCTCAAACTCTTTAGGCTTAAGCAATTGTCCTGCCTTAGCCTCCCAAGTGGCTGGGACTAGAGGCACCTGTGCCACAATGCCTGGCTATTTTTTGACTATAGTTGTTATTGCTGTTTGGCAGGCCTGGGCTGGGTTCAAACCCTCTACCTCCAGTGTATGTGCCCTAGCTGCTTGAGCAAAGCTCAATATTTTTAACACAAAATAATCCCAGAGTTCAGTACATGTCATCAAAATCTCAGCAGGCTATTTTGTAGAAATTGATTATATAATTCTAAAATTCATATGCAAATTCGAAGAACCTACAATTGTCAAAATAACTTTGAAAAACACCAGATTCAGAAAACTAATACTACTTGATTTCTGTATTCATATAAAGCTACAGTCATCAAGAAAGTATAGAATTGATATCAAGATAGACCCACAGGGGGAGGGGAGAGAGGGAAGGAGGGCGGGGACTGTGGGGCCACAGTGTGTGACACATCTCTTGGAGGTGGGACACTATTAACAGAGAGACTTCACCCGGCAAACATCAGCAGTAAAACCTGGCTCAGTGTACCCTCAGTGATTCTCCAACAATAAAGATAGATAGATAGATACATATGTACATACATACAGACCCACAGATTAGAAGAGAATGGAGAGTCCAGAAATAGACCCACACATGTATGGACAATTGGTTTTTGACAAAAATGAGAATGCCATTCATTGGTGAAAGGGAATCATCTTTTCCTCTGGCAAAAACAATTAAATATCTATATGTAAAAACAAAAAACTTCAACATATACTTTGTACCATATATAAAAATTAACTCAAAATGTATGATAGATAGAAATATAAAATCCCAAACCATAAAATTTCTAGAGAAAACACAGGATTGAAAAATCTTCATGACTTTGGATTAGTCAAAGATTTCTTAGATGTGACACCAAAAACAATATCTAGAAAATGATAATTTGGGGGAAAAAGGATAATTTGCACTTCATCAAAATTAAAAGCTTTTGTTCTTTGAAGGATATTGTTAAGAGAATGAAAAGAACACCAATGGAGGCAAGAAAATTAATCAGATTAATCTTCCTGTGCTGCACTTATCTTAATAGAGATTTGTTCTGTAAAATTTGGATTTAGTCAAAGGCCACATTTCAGGACCTACAAGGCCACAGATTCCCAACCCCCTGGCTCAAAACTCAGTAAGTTAGATAATAAACAATCCTATAAAAATGTGCAGAACATTTGAATAGACACATAAGAGGATATAATGAATGGCAGATAGTACATGAAAAGAACACTCAACATCATTGTCATTAGGGAAATGTAAATTAAAACCACAATGAAATACAACTTCACACTTGTTCAAATGGTTAATATTTTAAAATGGTGGCAAGACCAAGTGTTGAGAGGAACATGGAGAAACTGCAGCTACTGGGAATGTAAAATGATACAACCACTTTGGAAAACAGTTTGGCAGTTCTTAGAAAGTTAAATATATACCTATCATGTGCTCTAACTATCCCACTCTAGGTATTTCCCCAGGAGAATGAAGTGCATATGTCTGTTATTGACTGGTATGCAAATGTTTGTAGCAGCTTCCATTTGTAATGGTCCAAAATTGGAAAACTCTCAAATGTCCATCGAACAGGTCAATGCATAAGTTAACTAGTGGGATGTAACCTACCAGTAAAAAAGGAATGAACTGTTGATATCTGCTTAACATGGGTGAATTATAAAATAATTTTGATTGAAGGAAACCAGATTCAAAAATAATGTCTGATTACATTTACATAAAATTCTAGAAAGGCCAAACTAATCCAGAATGACAGATCAGATTGTTTAGGGGTAGTAAGGGAGGGCAGGAAGCAGGGGTTACAGAGGGACACAAGAAAACTTAAGGTCATGAATCAGTTCACTGTCTTGTGGTGAGTGTGTGTTTGTATCACCCATATTCTCTGAAAATTATTTCCTTTGAGCACTCTAATGGTAGCTGTCACCCTCATTTTTTTGACTTATTTTAGAATGCATTTAAATCCTTGGGAAAGTCACTTATGTCATCAGTGAAGAATGCCACCAAAATAGCTTCTCACTTAAGTTCCCATCCCCAGAGCTAACCCACAGGAGGTTCTGATAAATTCAAATATTTAATAACTTGTATTTTTCTTTCTCCTTAAACGCAGGCCCTCTGGTCCGGGAGGCAGGATCATGTGGTGGATTCTTGGCAGTCAGCAGTCTGTGGAGCTTTCGCAGGTGCAAGGGATTATATTATACTGGGAAAGACCAAAGAGGAGGAGAAAAATGTGAAAATATTAACTATGCAAAAACAACATTCTTTAGAAATTCCAAATTGTTTAGCTGAAGAGAGTTCTACGACTTGTTTGAGAAAAGAACATGTCTGAAGGGGAAAAAAACCTGCTAAAAATGTGTCTGCCTGAAAGACAGACAACCAATTTGTTTTTGACAAATTTTCCTTTTTCTTTTTATCTTTATTAAAGCCTTCACTCAGGCCCTGGGATTATCTTAAAGATGATTTATAAAGTCCTCTGTGGGAAGTGACTTGCTATGGGTGCAGGGCTAACCATGCAGCTGTCTGCCTGAAGCATTGCTTTGGGGGTTTAAGTGATTTCTGCAGAAAGCAGTGATTTATGGTTTGACAGCGCTGCAGATTAACTAGTGTCAGGAGGAGAGCAGAGTGTCCTTCACAACTTACTGAATGCTAAGCTGCTCTGTGTGGAAGATTGGCAGTCTACACATCTGGGCGTTTTTGAGACATTAAAGCAAGAGCCAGTATCTCATCATCCATCACTAAGTCATACGAATGTTCCAGTGAGCTTTTAATGAGAACACAGGTTCTTTAAAGAATTTAATACATGATAGGTTTAAGGGCCTAAAAGAGAAATATATTTTGTTGTTTTAAATAAATTAGAATTAGAATTGAAATAAAATGAAGTGTAAATTTGCCAGAAAAGTCTAAACTTTTAGTTTAGGTATGAAGCTTGTAAATTGATAAATAAGTAACTTTAGGGTGTCAGTTTTATTGGGAAATAATTCTTTTTCCACTTATTTGATAGTTGTTGGTTGGGTTTCATGTTGCAGTGATTGGGAAAACAGAAAACAAATGTTATAGGATTTGTTACTAATAATTAGAGCCGTTGGTAGAATTGATAATCAGGATCAGCATCCGCCTCTAGACCCGAAACCTAACCAATCAAGATGGTAATTGTTTCCACATGACACATAACCATTAGCTTTGTTAAATAAGTAGGTGGTCTTGATTCATTTTCCAGAGGTCAGGAGTTAGCATTCCCCAGGCCCTAAGAGAAATGTGCCATTTTGCTGACTCCCTTCTGGGCCTTATGGACAGAGTGAGCACATTATGGAAATTTAGTCATCCTCAGTTAAGGAAGGCCACTTCTTAAAGTCAAGGATACTGTAACACTTCCAAGTGTTGAAATAAGTATATATTGTCTGGTTCCATGCTTTAAATACTGATTCAAAGATCTGCTTGCTGATGCATTGTTACTAGGCAAGGAATGTGCATGCATTATGGTTTCCTTTGCTGCTTGATACCCTATGATTGACATTGACTTTAGTCAGGAGGGAAGGCAGGAAACTTTTATCGGCAGTCTGCTCTGTGGGATGAACCAGCCACCCAGGCCTTTTAGTTAAGGTGGGTCATGGGAGGGTATAGCAGCACAGCTGTGACAACTGAGGACACTGGAATGTGGAGAAAGGGGGTGAGCTGCCCAGAGCCACATGTCTAGCGCAGGCTGTCTGACTTACAAGCTTGTCAAGTCTGTTCTGTCCCCAGCTCAGGAATAAGACTTTGAGGACTTCCTGAGCACCACTTCCCTCTATCTGTACTGCAGAAGCAACTGTTTCTACATTATGTGCTCCTAACTTGTCATCTGGAAAACTGAACAGATGTAGGAGTTATTACTGTTTCAACAAGAACAGCCAACATCCAGAAAATGAAATGCTATTATCATAATAATTTATCTTCTCTGTTGATTGAAGGAATAATGTCATTACTAAATGACATTAATAAATCAACATTATTAATTTTTAATATTATGTAATGTTGATAAAGTTAGTATACAGCATAATCTTATCCAATAGCTTGTATATTTTAAAATTCCTCCAACATAAGCATCTTGTTTTTTCAGCTGAGGTTCTGATAAGTGAAGGAGTTTGCCCGAGGCCTCCAAAAAAATCTGTCAGCAGATCCACATATATTTAGCAAAAGATAAATACATTTCTTGTTTATATCCAGGAACCAGGTTACTATTTTAAAACATTTCTGAAGGATAAACATTATTTGAAAATATTCCAAATTTTGAAAAAGTGATAGCTGGTAAGAGTTTGTTGCAACATTGCGCATTTACACAGTATAGAGAGATGAATAATGACTTGCCAGCTTGGGCAGCCCCCTTAAAGTGCTTCCATGCTGCCCTCGCAGACTGTTTATCCTTACGTGGCCACGGAGCCAGGGATAAAACTTGCCTTCAAGTCAGAAATCGGATTTCTTATCCCCGTGTGCTTTTCCAAGTTTAAATTGGCTAAAATCATTGCAGATAAATCATTCTGTGTGCCATCCTCAGCACTCTTCCTCACCCATGCTTGTTTTACAAACTACTTGGCACAGATATTCAAAAATGTCTCTTTAGATTGGAGGTGTTGATGGCTTGTCATGTTCAGAAATTCCCTTGGCTTTTGGTCAGGGGTTAAACTAGAGGGGGCTGAAAGAACTTTGTCAACTTCCTCACTTCAAGTTAACTTCTAAACAAAAACCCATAAAGCAGTCTGAATAATTATGGCATTTGCTTCTCTAGTGATATTTGTACTCTAATATTTTTTGATCAGTTTCTCATAATAAATACCTCCCTACATTGTCTAGGGGGAGAAGTGGGGGTTGTGGGGAAGGGGAGAGGAAGAGAGGGCGAAGGAGAGAAAGAGGGAGAAAGGGAGAGGACACAGTCTCCCCGTGGGCTTGAAATTCTAGCATAGGGTGAGGGATGATTTGGGTAATAAGCAAGAAGGCCTGACACAATCTTTAAAATACAAACAAAAACATGTTCGTTGGTGTTGTTGTGGAAGCCTTGCATGGCTAAATGCTTGTTTGGAGATCACTCATCACAGGTATATGAAGGAGCTCTTGTTCTGCCCTGGGCTGGGGAACCTACAGCCTTGGGGCCACCTGACTTGTCCCTTTCAAAGGATGAGTTGAAATTTTCAGTTTTTTGGGTTTTTTTAAAATTTCTTTTTGGATGATGTGAAGCTTTCCTGGACCTTCCTTTATAACCAAAAGTGTGTGTGTGTGTGTGTGTGTGTGTGTGTGTGTGTGTGTATTTAGGGTAGAACATGTGGTTAAGAAAAAAAAACTAAGGAGTAGGATTTCAGGACTAAGCCCACTAAATCTTAAAACACCCAGAGTTTAGCAAGTCTCTGAATTTCAGGCAACTTTTGAATTTGGAACAAAGCATTTTATATATTCATTATCCAAAGGTGGGTAAAACCAAGGGGATTCTAATAGTCATGTTAGTTGTTAGCCCCTTAGCCCTAATGTGTGTGCCATTCATAAGTAACCACAATTGGAAGGTGACAGCATAAATAGGTAACCTTCCAGAAAGTCAGTGTCATGACAAATGTGAACATATGGGGGAAGTTCCATGTAACGATCTTATCATGGGAACATATTTAGAAAGATATTTGGCAGAGATCAAATGACCTTCTTGTTTGCAAGTCACAGAAGTGAGAAAGAAAGTAGTGCTATTTCTGGACCGTCCCTCATGCACATGTGTTCCGGTCAGCCCTCACAAAACCACCACTTTTACCCAAGCTCACGGAAGCAGAATCTTCTGCAAGCCCTTTAGGGTTTATTATTTTTGTCTGCTTAGGGCCTCTTGGTTATATCTTTATACCATATTAAGTAAAATGCTCATACCATCAAGTGTGGTTTATATTACCAAGCAAAACACCTTCAGTTCTTTTCATGGATACAAACCCTTTTAAAATCTCTGAACAATTTAGCCATTAATGACATTTAGATAAAGAGAATATGAGAGAGAAAGTAGGAAGGAAGCCATAGCTGGAATACCTGTTTCAGCAAGACTGACTCTAAAAAGATGCAGAAGAGAGTTTACAAATACAGTAGCTCTCCGAGCCTGTGAAGTGCAGAAAGCTGTTCTCTTTTAACTTGAAGAGTCCATCCATCTATGCCAAAAATCCCTCGAGTGGTATACATGACTCCATCCATGCTGCTATAGGAGGCAGACCTGATGGAAGTGTTTGGGAGTTAGTGTAAAGAACTGTGGCCCAAAACAAGGCACAGGCCTTGGCAGTATCCAGAGTGGCTGCCTCTCATAGGGAGAGCAGGTACATGGCCACACACAAGTGTCATGTACGTACTTCCCACACACTCAGATTAGTTTGCTTGTCCATAAAAAGGCAAGATACATTGTGGGGCCTTGTTTTCTTTCCCAAGTGGGTGAAGTATTTTCTTATGTTTCTTTTATATGTAGTTCTGCCCTAGCAAAAGAAATAAAGCATGTAGATAAAGATTTTCTATGTGTGCATCCTGTTCTTGAATCAAGTGCTTTAGGCAAAGTTATAAGGCATTATAAAATGTAAATTATAACATTACCATATAGTATAGTAAATAATATCTCACTTGCATGTTGGGTATTCTCATTCTCATATACATAGGTGGTTTTGCAGCTGCAGTCACCACGCCCCTGGATGTGGCAAAGACAAGAATAATGTTGGCAAAAGTAAGTGGAAAAATAATATAACACACACAACAAATGCTTATGTCTATTGGCACTAGGACTCACAGATACATGACATGAATAAAAGTGGTCTAGCTCTTACCTGTAATAGCCCCTTATGCTGCTTGTGGAACCTGTAATAAAACTGACAGAACAGTATCCACAGTAATCACCACAACCAACGTCCATGTAGCATTTTACCATTTCAAAATCATTTTCACCTATGTTAGGTTATAAGCAAGGAGAGCTGATAAGGCCACTGTCTGGTAATACTGTTTTTGAATAAACTCTGTTTTTACTAATAATCAAGCCTAAAGCTTACAGAGGTTTGTCCCGTCCTGACAGAGGTTGACAGGCTTCATCCCACACAGCAAGTAAGCTGTAAGCTCTGACATAAGGTCATGCTTGGACTCAACCTGTTGAGTTAAGACAGTTGTCATATTGTTTTTTAAAAAGGTTGCTAAAGAGAAAAATTATTTTTTTTTAAAAAATAGCTACACTAGGAGTCAAGGAATGCCATGTGTCTAACATATCTGGACCAAAACAATGGAAGTCCTTTCCTTGTGAAAAAGTGGAGCACATGGGGGTAGAATTCAGTGTTGAAATGAACATGGTACTCCTCACTCTGAGCTGTTCAGGCACGTTTCACAATAGTACCTTGTATCCTGATGACGTGCTGTCCTTCTCAGGCCACATCATGGTGCTGTCTGTATTTTTCCTGTGAACTAGTTGTTGTCAGTAACTGGGGTGAGCTCTAAAAAGCAGCTTCCCTGTGTGGCATGGGTTGCACCACTGCCTTTGTGTGTGAGCACAGCACTTCCAGGCCAGGTCCCCATTTTGATGAAACTCCTCAGTCTGTTTGAAACTCTGTCCTAGAGGAGGGTGGTGGGCCCCACACATCTGAGGCAGCTGTATGTTGGAGCTCCGGAAGTTAACGGATGTGTCCTTTATCTTTTCACATAGGCTGGTTCCAGCACTGCTAGAGGGAACGTGCTCTCTGCCCTGTACGGGGTCTGGCAGTCCCAGGGGCTGACAGGGTAAGGATGAGAAGAAGGTGCCATCGCCTTTCCCCTTTGGCTCTTTCTCCTTTAACCTGACGTTGGATGAGAGCCTTTTCTTCCTTCTGCCTGTGTTCTGGTTAGGGTGTCTATTTACATTGTGCAGAATGCTGTATTGATGTTACACATGTGAGATAGCAGAGCTTGGTCACATGGAGGCAGTGCTCCAGGCCTGGCCATCCTCAGCCCCACCCACCTTGATGTTAGGTGACATGTACACGTGTGGACCACACCAGGGTCTGGGCTATAGCAGTGAGGAAATAAGGCTCTGGTTATAGAATGTGGGAATGCACGTCAGTGAGGCTCACATTAGGGGAGAGTGTTTGTGGTCTGGGCACTCTTAACTATCATTAGTAACAACTTTTTTTGTTGTTTGTTTTATTTTTCATTTTATTTTATATTAAGTCAAATTCACATAGATCATGAATACATTTAGGCATATGTGGGGTACAATGTGTTGATTTTTTTTTTATACAATCTGAGGTGGTTACATCAAACCAATCAACATAGCTTTTGCCTCATTTACTTGATTATTGTGTTAAGACATTTCTGTTCTACACTTGACAGATTTGACTTGTACCCTTGCAAAATCCTCCATAGGTGTGGTCCCACCTTTTACTAAACTCCATCAAACCTCCCCCCTGCCCTCCCTTCCCACTCCATTTCTCTCCTTCATCCTGGGCTATAGTTGCCTTCTATCTTTCAAACAAAGTGTGAGTAGATATAATTCTGTTTCATAGAAGTACTGAGTACATTGGATACTTTTGTAACAAATTACTCTCAACATACTGCAGTGTACCACACCTTCAGGGAGAGTCAGTTGAGAGCCATTACTCTCTATTGTTGGCTGGGTGCCTCAAACTTCGGGCTTCATGGCCTGAAAAGCTCTCTAAGCAATGTTACTTTGCCGTTGCTTTGACGTGACCTTGTCAAGTTGTGTGAATGTTTGGTTCTTACAGGTATGTGATGTGAAGCTTTTCTCTTAGGAATCCTCTGCCAGCAGTTTTCCCACTAGAGCAAAGCCTCATCCTCCCTTGGAGAGTGAGCCTACTGCAGGGTCAGTGCATAAGCAGCATAGCTGCCCTAACTTGAGCGTTGGCCTCTGCCTGGTTCTCAGGCCTCCGCTGGGGCTGCCTCCTCGTTGTGACGTGGTGGGATCACCGACGGCAGTTGTGTGCATTTGGTGGTTTTAACTCAAGCTGGTAGGGGGTCTGGGGAATTGAAGCTGGTAGGACAGGCCACAGTTCACACTGCAGGAGAGCAGCCCATTGTCAATTGAAAGTTTCTAGGTGAAGTCTGTGAAGTAGGTAATGTTGGAGATTTTGTGATTAAGACAACTCTGATAGATTGATGTTGGCTGCTTGAAGGATATAATGCAGGTGTCCTCAAACTACAGCCCATGGGCCACATGCAGCCCTCCTAGGACATTTATGTGGCCCACTGAGTGTTTTTGCTGCCGCTGCCCGTCCTACTTAGCAGCCAACTCGTCCCAGGGCCCGCAGTCCGGCCCTCCAATGGTCTGAGGGACAGTGAAGTGGCCCCCTGTTTAAAAAGTTGGAGGACCCCTGATGTAATGGTTTTGAGATAAAGACTGGGTTTAACCAGAAGGAATAATTGTTAATGTTTAGCAAATAGTGTTTGAAGGGCACTGTGGCATCAGTGCTATGGGCCTGCCATCTATGGCTAGCGTATTTTGAGGAAATGAGAATCTGGCTGCCCATATCTATGGACCCTTTGCCTTTCTTGACCATGTGGTGATGGTTAGGGTGGCATGGGCAACTGTGACCACCCTACCCATGACCTCAAAAGCTGGTGGAGAAGGAATTATCTCCCATAGTTAGAAGAAGAGAATCATCCCTGTCCAATTAGGGGTGTTGTCAAACTAAGCAGTACCAGGATTGTAGACAGAGGAGGACTGTCATTAACAGGCCACAGGTTGTCTCTGTTCTGTGTCCCCATTGTCAGCCTTGAAATGGTAGTTTGGATTTTTGGCTCATATTCTGAATGTCTCTTAAGTTGTAGGTTCTAGTTACTCTGTACAGTGTAGTGCTGAGGGTATTTCAGGAGCAAAGTTTGTCACTTAAGAAATGATACTTTTAATCAGCCGCCTTAGTAATGTGATAGAAGACAAATAATTTGACCAAACAAGAAACCCTCCAAGCCTGGGCAGCTGTTGTGAACAGCGCTGCAAGGCACCTTCAGAGGTGCCTGTGGCTTTCTTTGTTGGGTTTGCAGTGGTACAGTCCTCTCAGGGTGAATTCAAGTGGTGACCACTTTTGTCTGTGTTGGTTCACACAGGGGAAGAGCATATTCTGGCACACCCTTGGAAGATGTGTATGCCCTCTAGGACCAACTGGTTCACCTAAATACAAGCACCACGTGCCCATTCAGTCAGTGGCCCAAAAGCAGATGGGGAGCCTGCTTATTCTGGATCACTCATCACGCTGACCTTCTGTTTTTCTTGACTGCCCTTTCTGTACTGACTGCTGCTGCCACGGGGACCCCTTTGCGCCTGGCACCGTGTAAATGTTTCACACTTGCTATCCTGTTTGATCTGTGGGCCTGAGAAACACAGCCCTACTCCACTCCAGTCTTCACCTCCCAGTTTGGTTGAAACACACACAGTACAAATTGCTCTACGTGAAGACTATCATTATGTTAATAGATTCAATTGTCATCTAATGAAACCATAAACTGCTTCCACCTGCCTCTGGCCAGGAGCAGCTGAGCTCATTATGGGCAGAAGCCAGAGTAGGGAGGGAGAGCACCACAGCCAGTGTGGTCTTCCTCACGTACGGCCTCCCCGCCAGCAGCCTTCTTTGGCAGGTAGGGGCAGGGAGCTTAATCTGTTTTCCAGGCCAGAAGGACACAGCGGCCTCAAAGCGGTAATTTATGACTCTCTGCCCTCACCAACCACCTCATGCAAAAACAATTTACATTTTGCTGAGCTGAACATGGCTTTTTGCTTACAGGTATATTTTGGTTCGTTCTAACATTTCCATGGTTATTTCTAGACAAGCAAAAGCAGTTCTTCATTTTATGGGTATTATTTTACTTGATTTAAATTCTCAGTTAGCTATTGTAAAAAGGTCTAAACTATCCTAAAGTTTCCCAGTTTCCTCAGAAGCACTGAGTGCTCTCTTACAAAGGGAGACCAGTTGACCTCTCCTCAGGCAGGAGGGCAGCCTGGTGGTTGGCACTGTACTGCAGGGATCCCCTCCTGGCTAATCACGGAGGTGTGCCCGTATCTTAAAGGTACCGTCCTTTAAGTTATGTGCCATAACTACTGTTGGCATAACTTGACCATTTCCAGTTTTCTTTCCTACACCTGGTCAGAAGTCTTCTCATTAGTGTACCTACTAGTTCTGATTTTGTAACTTTTGTACAGAATGTTACAAAAGTTACAGAAGTAATACAGGCACATCTGGCTTATTGTGCTGCTTGAATACATTCTTTACTTTTTACAAATTGAAGGGTTGTGGCAACTCTGTATGAGCCAGTGTATGGACATAGGTCCTCACTTCGTGTCTGTCATGTTTTGGTGATTCTCGCTATATTGCAAACCTTTTCATTTTATCTCTTAATGATGATCTGTAATCAGTGATCTTTGTTACTATTGTAATTATTTTGAAAAGGTAGTAAGCATAATTGATGAATATCATATGTGTTCTGACTGCTCCACCAGCCAGTCATTCCTGTCTCTCTCCCTCTGTTTGGACCTCCCTATTCCCCCAGACACAACAATATTGAGATTAGGCCAATTAATAACCTTACAGTGGCCTCTAAGTGTTTAAATGAAAGGAAGAGTCTCATGTCAGTTACTTTAAATCAAAAGCTAGAGATGATTGAGCTTAGTGAAGAAGGCATGTTGAAAGTTGAGATAGGCGGAGAGCTAAGCCTCTTGGGCCAAACAAGTGCCAACTTGTGAATGCAAACAAAGTTCACGATGAAATTAAGAGTGATACTCCAGGGAGCATATGAATGACAAGAAAGTGAAATTGCTTCATTGCTAATCTAGAGAAAGTTCGAGTGGTCTGGACAGAAGATCAAACCAGCTACAATATCCCTGTCAGCCAAAGTCTACTCCAGAGCAAAGCTCTAACCCTCTTCAATTCTGTAAAGGCTAAGACAGGTGAGGAAGCTGCAGAAGAAAAGCTGGAAGCTAACAGAGGTTGGTTCTTGAGACTTACAGAAAGAAGCCATGTCTAGAACATACAAGTGCAAGGTGAAGCAGCAAGTGCTGAGGGAGAAGCTGCAGCAAAGTATCTAGAATATCTAGCTGAGATAACTGATGAAGATGGCTACACTGAACAGTGGATGTTTCAATGTAGGCAAAACGGCCTTTTGTTGAAGAAGATGCCAGCTAAGACTTTCCTAGCCAAAGAGGATAAGTCAATGCCTGTCTTCAAAGCCTCAAAGGATAGGCTGACTTTCTTGTTAATGTAGCTCATGACTAAGTTGAAGCCAATGATCATTGACCATTCTAAAACTCTTAGGACCTTCAAGAATTATATTGAATGAACTCTGCCTTTGTGCTATGAAGGAAATAACAAAGCACATCTGTTTGTAGCATGGTTTATAGACTATTTTAAACTCACTGTTGAGACCTACTATTGAGAGAAAAAGATTCCTTTCAAAATATTGCTGGCCAGAAGCCAAGGTGGGAGGATCTCTTGCAGTTAGGAATTTGAGACCAGCCCAAGCAATGTAGCAAGAACCCCATCTCCACAAACAACTTTTTAAAAATTAACCTGATGTGGTTGTGTGTGCACATAGTACTAGCTCCTTGGGAGGCTGAGGTAGGAGGCTTATTTAATACCAGAAGTTCAGGGCTGTAGTGAGCTGTGATTGTGCTTCAAGTACTCTACCCTGGGTGGCAGAGCAAGACTGTCTCTTAAAAAACATATTATTGCATATTAACAGTGCACCTGGTCACCAGGAGCTCGGATGGAGATGTTCAAGACGTTACTTTATGGGCACTAATGCAACATCCATTCTGTGGCCTGTGGATTAAGGAGTAATTTGACTTTCAAGTCTTAGTAAGTACATCTCATAAGGCTATGATAGTGAATCCTCTGATGGATCTGGGCAAAGCAAAGCACCTGAAAAGAACTGACCATTACTAGATGCCCTTAAGATTGTAATTTGTTGTGAGGAATTCAACATATTAATGCAAATAGATGTTTGGAAGAAGTTGATTCCAACTCTCATGGATGACTTTGAGGGGCTCAAGACTTGGGTGAAGGAAATAACTGCAGATGTGGAAGAAAACTAAGAAGCAGAGACTGAGATGTGACTGCACTAAAGCAGTCCCATGATAAAACTTGAACAGGTGAGGAGTTCCTTATGGATGAGCAAAGAAAGTAGCTCCTTGAGATGGAATGGACTTCTGAAGATCCTGTGAACACTGCTGAAATAACAACAAAAGGTTTAAAATAGTCCATAAACTTAGTTGGTAAAGCAGTGTTAGGGTTTGACAGGATTGAGTATCATTTTGAAAGTAGTTCCACTGTGGGAAAAACGCTGTCAAACCCGCATCCCATGCTACACAGAAATCCTGAACAAGAGGAAGAGTCAAATGATGCTGTAGACTTCATTGTTGTATTTTTAAGACCCCAACCTTCAGCAACCACCAGCCTAGTCAGTCAGTAGCCATCAACATTTAAGGCACAAAACCCTCCATTACAAAAAGATTGACTTGTGAAGGCTCAGGTGGTTGTTAGCATTGTGCAACAAGACGTTTTTGAATTAAGGGATGTACTTTATTTTTAAAGACAAAATCCTGCTGCACACTTGGAAGATTATAGTATCATGGAAAACATGAGTTTTATGTGCTTTGGGAAACCAAAATGTGAGACTCACTGTATTGCAGTGGTCTGAAAGTGAACCCACAGCACCTCCAAGGTATGTTTGTACTTGTGGTAAGAAAGGCCCAAATGTTACAGCAACATGAGCAGGAATGTCTCCTGTAATCTTGCTCCCCAAAGGCAGCAATCATTCACAGCCCAGGCCACACCCCGCTGCTGTTTCAGACGTGCCGTTGTATTACACTTGACTTTTTCTGGTACTTGATTTTTTAAAAAACTGACTGTATAAGTTTTTTATGGTCATACGCAAGGAACGCCTCATTCTTGTCAGCTGCCCAGTCCTCCACAGTGTTTATTTTACACTATAACAGCCCTGAGCAAAAGCAGGACATTTCTACTTTTTCTCTTAACAATGTCATGATGAACATCTTTGAACAGATCGGTGCCTGCATGGATCCGGGGAGGGAAGCCCCACTTGATGAGGTCCTGCTACCCACCTGGCTGCAGCCCTCTCACCTGACAGGCCCTTATGTAGCTGGAGAAAGAAAACAAGGAATCTGTGAAGGTTATGATGCCTGTGGTGGCATCACCTGTGTGGGTCTCTAAGGATAAAAGTGACCAAGTGGGGAGCTGGTGGCACAGTTTCCCTCAGTCTCTTCACTGGACCAAATTAAAAAATGGAGTGCAAGGTTTTTTTTTGTTGTTTGTTTTTTAAGAGAACTGTTGTTGGGACAGCACTATTACTTCATTGCACATGTTTGCCAGTACATTGTTTGGTATTTTAGCCCCCTTGCCGGACTCGAACTTCAGCAAACCTACTTGAGAATGTAATTTAGTGCCCTTCTAAAAGAAAAAAATACAACATAAGTGCTGTTGTGTGAGGTTTAATGAGCCTGAGTTGAGCAAGCTGTGGAATGTAACCTTTTTCTGCACACACAGTTTTAAAATTTTTTCTTTTCCCCTAGATTATTTGCAGGTGTCTTCCCTCGAATGGCAGCCATCAGCCTGGGCGGCTTCATCTTCCTGGGGGCTTATGACCAAACACACAGCTTCCTTTTGGAGGTCAGCAGAAAGCATCCTTGAAGCAGAGACAGCCTCTCATGCACTTTCTAGAAAGGGTTCTGCTATGGGAGCCTTCTTTCTGGGGAGCAACAGTTTGCCCATCTGAGCTACAAGCCTCAGCACTGACGTCCAGTTCTGCTGAGATGACACTGGGACCGTGTTGTCTGTGGCACGGGTTGGCTGGGAAGAAGTCAAGAGAAGAAACCATATCCATGCAGTGCTTTGAACAGTTTTCTCAGAACCCCTTAATAAATGTTTGTTAATGTCGAGGCCAGGCTCCTCAGAGCTTTCATTTGATCTGTATCTGATCTTTCATTTCCTGTCACCTGATGATGGCAAGATGGTTATAATGGGTTTAATTCCTGTTGTGTAAGTTCAGAGCTTCATTTACAAAGATCTACAGGTGCATAGCAAGCATTCTTTCTGGGTAACCAGGCTGCTGGTTTTTTTTTTTTTAATTAAATGATAGTTGTATACATTAATGCAAACATGGGGTACAGTGTAGTGTTTTCATATACATTTCAAAATACTTTCATCAAGCTGGTTCACATAAATTTCATGTCATTTGCATAGTCATTGTGTCAAAACATTTATATTCTAGTTCTAGAAAAGTTCACTTGTACTCTTGTTAGACAGAAATATAGGTGATCTTTCCAGTTACCCTCCCACCACCCAGCCGCCCTTCTCCCCTCCCCTCCCCCTCCCCATATTCTTGGGCTAGAATTAAGTTGTATCTTTCATTTGAAAGCTATAAATTAGTTTCATAAAAGGGCTGTGTACATTGGATACTTTTTCTTCCATTCCTGTGATACTTTGCTAAGAAGTAGTTCACCTATAAGAACACATGATTTTAGTATTTTACAGAGAAGCATTCGATGACCCATGTGGTGTGTGAAGGAAAGCAGTTGCAGCTCATGTGGCTAGGTGGGCCTAGCTGGTTCCAGCAGGGTGGGGGCCTTTGGGGAAGCTGAACTACACTCCACTGTGTTCCTTTTCACAGGGCCAACTGTGGAAGCTATGTGTTGCTTCTTGGAGTTGTAAGTTCAGCATTTTAAGGAGAAGGGATGCAATGGAAAGGTCACCATACTTTGGGATTCTAGAGCTTGACTAACAAGCTCCATGTGTAGAAAAATTAGCAATGAAATCTCAGGCATCTAGCAGTGTTGTGTCTTCCCTGGAGCGCTAGTGTGATTCTGCTTTGCCTAAATTTTTTTGTCCTTTTTAAGGACAAGAGATAATTACAGGCAGAATGCCTGCACTTATAACGGAATCTAATGGGCTGAAGAGATGCTGGTTAATATATGTAAAGAATGACCTCAACCATACACTGAACCTTTATAAATGAACCTTTATTAAAGACACTTCAATGCCATTTGTTAGACACTTCAATATTTTACATGGTTTTCAATGTACATTGTACCAAAATTTCTATAAATAAATAACTTTGTACATAAAAGTAATACTTCCTCTTTCACATTGCCTCTTAGAAGCAGCAAATTCACATATTTTGTGGAAGTAACAATCAGTTAATGGTTGAGAACACAATTCTAAATGTGCTTATTACCTTTTGGAACAGTGACGACATCTGACAGTAAAATTTAACATAGGTAACCATTTTGTCAATACCTCCCCCTTCAGCTTTTTGGCCAAAGGAATTTGCATTCTGAGATTTTTTAGGACCTTGTTGTTTCGATGTAATTTTTACTACATCACACATTGGCACTCACAAGATGGTTAGCTATAGGTCTCAAAAGTGCAAATATACCTAGAACCCAGGCTACAGGCTAAATCTTGTACAGTCCAAGCCCAGTTCCTTCTGTGTGAGGGACTGGCATGTACAGATCTACACTGGATTCTCAGTAGAAATAAGCTAGCCCTGGAAAGTAAGAACTTTCATCTTTTTTATCCCCCAAGGCCAATGTAATATTAGTTACATTGGCAGAACTAAAACATCACTATTGAAAAAAATCCACAGGTACCAACACCAGCAGCCTTTACCTTAATAAAAAGTCTCAAATAGAAATCAAAGGATACTGACAACCCATTTGCTTGTATTATAAAATGAGCTTCAAAGGAGGAAGAAAGGCAGTGCTTAATTGTTCTGACCAGTTGCTTGTGGTGGATTAACAACTCATTTTCCTCAAAGAACTTACACATAAAAGAAAATGTCACTCCCTGCAAGGTTGGGTGGCGTCTGCATGAGTGTCCACACACAAGCAGTGCTGATGTGAAGTTGCCTCCAACACACAAAGTCTCGGGCCACAGAGCAGCCTACAGGGTGTCCTACGAAGTGGAACACCAACCCAGGGACTTCCCAACCCACCAAATCCTGGGAACAAATGTGGTTTTAGCCTCTAAATTCCAGCCATGCATTAAGGCACCAGAACTATTCCCTACCCACCCTCCAAAATTAAACTGCAACCTGATATGAAAAATAATATTGTCAAAATTGTATAATTTTTATCTGTTAACCATGCACTAAAGATTAAAATAGCCTCTGTAAAAGATATATAATATATATGAAATCTCTGAAAACTCTTATGTACAATGGTATCAAATACTTTTTCTGCCTTTTGTACACAAATAGCCTCTTGCATTTCTGTGCTTCAGATGCAAGTCCTCTGAATGATACTCCACACGGAAGTTAAAACTATATACAGATCACTGACGCTTGAACCCAAGCTGCTTCATGGCCTCTCCTACCCCTCTCTCCCCCACAGAGATTGGTATAACAAGAGTTGAGGTAGACAAAGCCTAGCTTTTTGATGCCAGCAGTAATGGCACCTTCTGTTTCCCAGCGAGCTGTCCTGTTAGTGTGGTGGACTTGGGATCAGAGTCAAATGCCTTGGGCAGGCAGCCATTGGAAACAAGCAAGTGCTGGGCTTCACTGGGGATGGTGGGAGAGCCTGAGGGGGCTTCTGCAATCTCTGGGTTGCCTGAAGGTAACAAAGATGCAGGTTGTAGGTCTGTGGAGTCTGGTTCATACAACCTTGCTAAAGTCCGAGAAGGATCCCCTATGAGAAAAGAAAGGGTGTGTTAGACCCACAAGCCTGGCCATTTATGTGTCTCCCAAAGTCATATGCTGGTGATTCCTCAGAGGACAGGCAAATGTTACCTTTTCCATCTGGAGATGCCACTGGCTTTTTCTTCAAGGCCGTCAGCATTCTATCATGGTTACTGGGGTAGAGGGACCCTCTGTAGTTGGTGTAAGACCCATCACCAGTCCCACTGCTCTGATGATACGGAGAATGTTCTTGATCATTCTGACTGGGCTCCTGGACACCGAGTGTACTTGGCTGTGTAGTGTCTCTGGACACAGGCTGGGCATAAAGGGCTTGTTCCTTGGAGTAACCATCCACATCCGCACTACAATCACTGCACACCATGGGGCCACTGGGTTCTGACGGACAGAGCCAAAGCCAGATGAGAATGGGCACGGCCCCCACACCCTGCCCTGTGTGGATCAGCCAGAGAAATACCCCAAATTACACTCACAGAGAAAGGACTAGGCACACATCTAGCTGTTGATGGAAAACAGGGTCCCTTGTGTGTAAATGTTTCAGATTTACTTAGTTTCATACTCAGACTAGTCATACTACTTGGATCATAGGAAAAAAAACTCACTTGAGTTTGGTATAATGCAGTGTTTATAGTCTCCTGAACAGTTAGAAATTTAGCCTCAAAATAGCTTTGGTGAAAAGATTCTGACTAAAACTCATTTGGTTTACAAGTCTAGGAAAACCGTGGTCAGGCTCACCACACCACAGATTTACTTAGGGGAGGCACTGTTAAGCAATAAACAGAACCAGGCCAGAACTCCCTGTGTTGGGTTAACACTAAACTCAGGGGTAGCTGTAGACCAATAATGTTTCCCTCTCGAAGCAAGCATCTCATACCCATCTTACGTGGAACAGGTGTCCCGTTGGCCTTCTCTGTCACCTTTCGTGGCTCTTTATTATGTCCAGCACAGAGCTTTGGCTGCCTGCATGGAATCCCAGGACCGTCGGCCTCTGGAAAGAGGCCTACATCTCTTGGACAGACACCTGTGGTGGATATTCTCACACGTTTAGAAACCCTGACCTTACTGTTTCACAGTAAGCCTTAACAGTCTAGTGGGGAACGGGTAAGGCTACTACAACTCAGTCATTTTTTAAAAATATTCTTTAGAGTGAAGGAGATCCCAGAGGTCCCACAAGAAGTATGTTTCCTACTGCTGCCTTCCCAGCAGGCAGGCCTCTCAGCAGCGGAGGCCATGCAAAGTCAGTTCTGGGAAGGACAAACCTCTATGGCTCTAGGCAAGGGCTCAGAGTCCCCCACTGCTGGCAAGGAGTGCAACCTGGCAAGAACCTTCTAATATGAGGCTGGAACACAGAGCCGACCCAGGCACTGCCCCATGCAATGAAGGGGTTGGTTTCATGCCCTGTAATGTCCTTTGCAGCTGTTATTTCAGATAATCCTACCTTATCTGGACTGGGAGACACTAAGCCCAACTCAGTGACTTCCAAGGGATTGCTATTCTAAAACCTTGCAGAACTTACAGAAAACAATAGAAATCCCTAGTCAAAAGCCTTTTACTTCACCAGGTCCGCCCCTAGGAAAAAAGTGGAGGCCACCTCCAGCACCTGGGAACACTGCTAACAGGTATCTGCTATGCTGTCACTGAAGCCTTACCATTGCTCTCAATGTGCCCGTTGGCCTGATGGCCACCCTCAGGCCTGACGACGGTTTCCTGTCGGTCAGACAGGGTCCCCTGAGAAGAAAGGTAGCTTGGCACATCTGGTGGCACAATAGTTTCATCTGTAAGGAAACAGGATGATAAAACAGAGTCATAGTGAAAAGAACTTCATTCTCAAGCCCAGAACAGATTTCCCTGGCAATGACCATCAAGGCTGTACAGAGACAGTGTGGAGTCTGCACATGCGACAGGCCTTCCCAGGACCTGCTTAACCTGACTGTCTACCCAGGTGAGAAAGCATGGCAGACACCCGAGTCCCCACAAGATTGAGGACGTGGTGCAAGGGGGACCGGAGTCACATAAGCGTGGCACTGTGAGGTAATTTCAGGAATGACCCACCACTCGGCAGCAAGGCACAGCTTAGCAGGCCTCTGAACTCTCAAGGGGCAAGAAAACAGCAGAGGGTGCTGTGCATGTGTGTTCGAGAGCATTCCTATTTAATGGGAGCCCGGCTATCTAGAACAACTCCATATTCCCAAGGCGCTCGAATTCTAAATATACTGAAACTTACAAAAGCCACTGGACCCAGCCCCGTTCCCAAACATCACACTTCCTTCTCCTTCCATGGACACGGCTCGGCCAGTGGTGCCCACCTGTGTTGGTGACGCTGTACTCCTCGCTCTTCCTCCGGGTCTGGTAGATGATGCACACCCACACCAGTGACGTCAGGACGATGCTGCACACCACAGCGATGGTGAAGATCCCCACGGTGGTCCCGTCCTTCCTGCAGCCGGGGGTGGGCAGGATGCTCAGCTGGCTGTGTGCGCGCTCGGTGCCCAGGGTGTTGGACATCTCGCAGGTGTACCGGCCTGCGTCCTCTGCCACCACATTCTGAACAACAAGCAGCTGGTTGCCAGGGGTGAAGTGGTGCCGCTCTGTCAGGCTCAGCGGGCGGTCCCCCTTGAACCAGGTAATGCGGGGTAGCGGGCTGCCAGTTGCTTTGCACTGAAGGGCCACTGTTTCTCCCACAGACACCACACGGTCTTCCAATGGCACTGCCAAGGACGGGGTCTCTGCAAGAAGTCAGTGGAGATCTTAGTCACTCTCTGGACCTCAGCTGCTACGGCTCTGCCTCATCTTCTGGACAAAGGGCCATCTGACACCAATGAAATGCCGCTTGACATTTTTCAAGCGGTAAGGTTTTCAGAAAACCTGACATAAGACTAAATCCTCATCACTCCTGGGATGACTCCAACAAAAAGAATGAACTAATTTCTGGTCATGAAAGTTCCTAACTATCCCCTAACTGTCCTGTGACAGGCCTGTGTTCTAATTCTTGACCAGTGCCACACTCATCCTGCCTAGTTCAGAGGGCAGTTGTTAGAATGTTTCATATCTAAGCCCTGTGAAGACTGTCTTAATTCAGTGGCTATCACTTTTTTTTAAAGAGATATAGCTACTTGTTCAAGAAGAATTTTAGAAAGTAGCCCCAAATTTCAAATGATGCAGAAATGGCTTACTACACTTACCTGCCCTAGGCTCTGCAAAGCAGCTGAGAACTGCGCTGCTAACTATGGTATTTCAGAGTGCGTCTCCCCTGCCCCCACACAGTCTGTCAGCGTGCGTACCTAACACAGTCAGGGTGGCATTAGCTGAAATGGAGCCAGCTGAGTTCTGGGCAGTACAGCTATAAACCCCCATGTCATCTATCTTCACATCAGTGATGAAAAACACATCGTCGTCTGGCATGACATGCATGCGTCGCTCACGGGCAGCGGGGAAATCTGTGCCTCCATCCTTCTGCCAGGCAATCTGGGGGTTAGGATGGCCGGTGGCAGCACATTCAAGGCGGGCCATCGTGCCAGTCCGGATGGCAATGTCATGAGGCATTTTGGTGAACGACGGCAACACTGGAAAACACATACAGGGTGGGTTATGGGACAATCAGGTACAAAGCCAGGTAATCCTCTGGTAAATACTCCTCCCTGGCCCCTATGACTCAGTAGCCACCCACCTCTCCCCTCCACAGTGGCACAGTTTCTAACCCTAGACCAGGTATGGTGCCTTGTGGCTGTAATCCTAGCACTCTGGGAGACCAAAGTGGGTAGACTGCTTGATCTCAGAAGTTTGAAACCAGCCTGAGCAAAAACAAGACCCTGTCTCTACTGAAAATAGAAAAACTAGCTGGGTGCTGTGCTGGACACCTATAGGCCCAGCTACTCGGGAGGCTGAGGCAAGAAGATCACTTGAGCCCAACAGTTTTTGGTTGCTTTGAGCTATGATGACACCATGGCACTCTACCCAGAGCCACAGAGTGAGACTCTGTCTTAAAAAAAATAAATAAATGAAAAATAATTAACTAACTAACATGTTCTGACCCTAACCCTCTTCTTATACACCCTAGCCTGGCAACAAGCCCCTCAGAGGAAAGGCTTTTTACACATCATTTCCTTGTTGTGCCTCATATGATAATCAGTCTATACAGGAGTCCCCCGTAGGTGTTAGGGTCTGAGCTTGCCAACCTCAATTACCTACCAGAAGAGAACTGCTCCATCAAGATGGAGTTACAGAGGGAAGGCTGGCATGCCTCCACCCTGGGCGAAGCACTGGGATGGCCCTTGGGAAGAAATGCATTTTGGACAGGCAATGTGGGGGCTATGCTGCCACACATCGGCAGAGAGCACCCTGCTGGCTGGTTTACTGTGCCTGGAAGCCATGTCCTGAGTGGGGAACGTAAAGCCATGTGTCAGGCCATTCCCTCCATTCCTGTCCAGGTTACTCTAACAGTTCCCAAGTCTTCCCAAGACAACGAGGAATCCCTCAGGGTATGGCAGGACAAGCCAATGTGTGGTGAAGAAGTACCTCCCTGCAGAAACAGCACTTTGGATGACCACAAGCCAACTCTTTTTAATTGGAGGCTTAATATTTGGAAAAATCTCATTAGGTTACTGGGGATGGAGCAGTTAACTACCCAAGCCATCTACCCAAACACCCTATAACAACTGAACGAACTACAGAGTGCCAACTTGACAATCTCTGAGACTGGAAAAAAGAACCTGTTAAACCCCCCACTGCCTCCTGCCCCAAACATTGTATCCTTTAAGACAGCTGTTGACAGCAGCCCTGCACCCCACACAGCTGGCCTCTGGCTCCAGATGCTCTGTCTACTCAGAGAGCAGCAGCTTCTCCAAGGACACAGGATGCCTAGAATCTGAACACCATGCGTCTGGCTTATGAAGGATAATCAATGGGTAAAAATACAAGGCTCAGTTCTACAACTTCATTGAACATAACTGGATTTTAAAAGTCACAAAAACCAAAAAAATCCATCAAGAATAACCTTAAAATCTATAAAACTTGCTCTGGACAAACCCACGTAATGGCATAATTTAACAGAGTCCCAAAGCAGCATAGTCATTTCTACATGGAAAACTCAAAGAACAACTGGGAGTGTGGCTTGGCATAGTCCTGCGCTAGAACACAGATGACACTTCCTTACCATTCACAGTGAGCCTGGCCTTATGCGAGTAGGTGGAGCCAAAGTGGTTGGTGATGACACACTGGTAGCGGCCCTCGTGTCCGAAGGTAACCTGACGAAGGTGTAGGATGGTGGTATACTCCATCACCTCCCCATCCTGCGCACGCACGTGGGCAAAGTTCTCCATGTCAGCATTGGTCAGGACTTCATTGTCCTTCTTCCAAGCAAAGGTCATGGGGGAACTGCTGCTGCTGGCTGCCGAGCATGTGAACCGGATGTCCTTGCCCACCACAGCCACAGTGGTCTCTGGCTGGGTGATGATCTGTGGCTTTGGGAAGTCATCTGGAGAGAGAAGGGCCAACTGTAAGGGATCCGGAGTCCTGGTATTCACAAAGACCAGTGCTGTTCAAGCTAACAAAAAGTGGTCAGACACCGGGCAGGAAGCAGAGCTTTCCCAGTCCCTGTGCATCCTCAGTCCCAGCAGATGCTGTGAGATTTGCACCAGGATGCCTGGCTTCCTCTACTTGTCAGTCCACGAGTAGTGATCATGTCTGTAATCACACTGTTTGATTAGCAATTAACCTACCAGGCATACTTGCCCTGGCAACGGAAGCCCGTTCACTATCCATAATGAACGTTATCTTGCTCTGGCAGCCTGTATCTTGCTCTTACTCTATATACCTACCTTTCTCTTCCTCAATAAACTCTGTTTCATGCTTGCCTTAAAACAAAAAAGAAATTAACCCATCCTTGAGCTGACTACACTTGGCCTGAGCTGCTTGCTTTTACAAGAAACACACAAGTCAGGCACCACCAGTCACAACCACACAGACCTTCCAAACTTTACTTCAAAAGGAAGATGTGTGAAGCACCTTGAGAATGTCAAAATCAGGACTTCCAAAAATCTGCCCCTCTGATGAAAACATGAAACACCGACAAATAGTCAAAATCTACTTTTTCAAAATTCTGGAAAACCGAAGAATTTCAACAATCCATGGAGTGTTGACTGCAAAAAACAGCTGTATCTCAGTAATAAAAGTAAGCTCTGTGGTATTTTATCTTAATTTTCATTCCTCTCTCCCTGGCTCCACAGTGCTTTGAAACTAGCAGCCTAGCAACCACTGAGGGAGGCAGAACATGTTTGGAGTGCCCCCACAGCCCCATCCTGGAGAACTCATTGTGCAACCTGCAACCTGGAAAGCACCATTCACAGTATCTGCATCTGTTTGCCCTGATGCAGTCTGCTCAGCAAGAGAACCTCTCTCTCTTCTCCAGGGCATGTGACCAAAACATAGCAGTCATTGTTGAGGAGCACAGCTGTCTGAGGAGATAGGACCAGGTGGGACAAGAGGTTGGCCAAAAAACTAAACAGAAAAAGGAGGTGAATGCAATATTGAGAGTGGGTGCTGCAAAGTCCCCACACATTCCTGGGAATCTAGAAAGCCACACACAGACAGAGCTATGTGAAAAACCAGGAAAGCCCTGGGGAAGGGAGTCCTCATTTCTCACCTGTGGCTGAGCTTAAAAATCTACACACACACAGAGGCCTTGGGTAAAGGGTGGGAGAAAGGAGGAAAAATGAACAGAATCAACAGAGACCTGTGGGACAGCATCAAACATAACAGAGAAATACTGGGGGGTCCACGGAAAATGAGAAAAAGAAACAGAGAATATTGAAAAAATAAAAGCCCTAAATTTGATGCATCCCCACATCTAGGAAGCCATAATGAACGCCAAGTAAAATAAATACAAAGATCCAGACCCAGCCACATCATACCCAACCTCTTAAATGCCAAAGATAGAATCTTGAAAACAGTAGAAAGGAGCTATCCATCACACAGGGGATCCTTGATAACAAACAGCTGATTTCCCACCAGACACCAAGGAGATCAGAAGGCAGGAGGAAGACATATTTGAAATACTGAAGAAAAGAGTTCTATGTTGAGCAAAATTATCCCTCAAAGATGAATGAGAAATTAAAACATTCCCAAATTAAAAAAAAAAAAAAACAACAGAGTTCATCACTACCAAACCTATCCTACTAGAAATACAAAAGAGTATTTAGTATGACTAAATTGAAAGAACATTAGACAGTAACTCAAATCCATACAAAGAAATAAAACGCCATTAAAAGTAACTACATAGGTAAGTACAAAAGACAGTAACCCTCTTCTACTGATTTAAAAAACAACTACATAAAGCAATAATTATAAAAATATCTATGGGTTTATTATACTGTACTAAGACATAATACGTATGATAACACAAATGAGAATGGATCTTAATAGGAGCAAACTTTTTGCATACTGTCACAGTCATTATTAATTAGAATTATGTCATTTTAAGATGCTGATTTTAATCCCCATAGCAAACACTAAGAAAACAAACAAACATATGTAAAGTAAAAGAAACAACAGGGGAATTAAAACAGTATGCCAGAACATCTATTCAATACAGAATAGTCAGTAATGGAGAAATAAAAAGATAAAACATACAGAATAGTAGAAGCAAACTCTACCTACCATATTAGTAACTACATTAAAAGTAAGTGGATTAAATACCTCTATTAAAAAAGATTGGCTTGGTGCTCAGTGGCTAGGGTGCCAGCCACATACACCAGAGCTGGCAGGTTCAAACTTGGCCTAGGCCTGCCAAACAACAATGACAACTACAACCAATAAATAGCCAGGTGTTGTGGTGGGCGCCTGTACTCCCTGCTACTTGGAAGACTGAGGCAAGAGAATCACTTAAGCCCAAGAGTTTGAGGTTGCTGTAAGCTGTGCTGCACGCTCTACAGAGGGCAACATAGTAAGACTCTGTCACAAGAAAAAAAAAAAAAAAAAGGATTACTATAATGGGAAAAAATCATGACCCAGATATATGCTGTCTAGACTACACATAGTCTAGATGCAAATAGATGCAAATAGTCACTAAAGGGAGGCTGGGCACAGTGGTTCGTACCTGTAATCCTAGCACTCTAAGAGGATTGAAATGGGAGGATGGCTTCAGCTCAGGAGTTTGAGAATAGCCTGAGCAAGAATGAGACTCCAACTCTATTAAAAATAGAAAAAATTAGCCAAGTGCCATGGCATGTGTATAGTCTCAGCTACTCTGGAGGCTGGGATAGGAGGACTGCTTGAGCCCAGGAGCTTGAGGTTGCAGTGAGCTATAATGATGCCAATGTACTCTAGACAGGCCAATAGAGTGAGTCTCTATCTCAAAAAAAAAAAAAATTATTCTAAGTGTGAAAGGCCAGTTTACATAAGAGCACATATTGTATAGTTCCATTTACATTAAATGTCCACAATAGGCAAAGCATTAGAGATACAATGTAGATCAGTTCTTGCAGGGTCCTGGGCATAGGAGAGGTATGGGATTTTTCAGGGGTGATGGAAATGTTCTAAAGTTAGATAGTAGTGATGGTTGATTACCTAAGTTTTGAATATTCTAAAAACCACTGAATTGAACATTCTAGAAGTAAATTTTTTATGGCATGCAAATTTCATCTTTTAAAAACAGCTTTGAGATATAGTTCATTTATAGCTCACCCTTATGAAATGTCACGTTCAATGCTTTTTAGTTTATTCACAAATATATGCAACCAGCACCATAGTAAATTTTAAAACATTTTCATCACTTCGAAAAGAACCTTGAACTTTTTAGCTATTACCACTTTACCCTCCATTCCTCCCCTGCCGTAGGCGATTACTGATCTACTTTTTACTTCTGTAGATCTCCCTATTCTGGACATTAAAGATGAATGGAACCACATAATATGTGATCTTCTATGACCAAGGTCTTTCATTTAGTGTAAGAGTCTCAAAGTTCACCCATACTGTAGGATTTTTGATTCCTTTCATGGCCTCATGATATTCCACTATTCATCAGCTGATGGATATTTGGGTTGTTCCCTCTTTTGGCTATTCTGAGTAACACTGCTATGAACGTTCATGTAGAAGTTTTTATGTAGACATGTATTTTCCTACATACCTAGAAATGGAATTGTTGCGTCACGTCATAACTCTGTGTTTAACTGAGAACTGCCAAGACCATTTTCCAAAGTATCTATACCATTCTGTACTCCCTTGAGCAGTATGGGAGGGTTCAGACTGCTCCCTAACCTCACCAACACTTGTTACTGCCTGAATTTTGGACTCTAGCTATCCTACTTGGTGTGAAATGATGTTTCACTTCTCTAAAAAGGAGTGGGAGACTCCCACAGAGCTTTCACAGAGGAGTGGGAGAAGTGAAATAAACAACTCTTCAATCCAGAACATGCCATTGCCACCTGGCTCATCTAAAGGGAAAGACCATCCTATGGCAGGGAGGAGGGAAGAAAGGGCAGGAAGCTTAATTGTAGGGAGCTCTATAGATAATTTAATGGTCAAGAACTTGATGAACAATGGATTGTAGCCATTTTGTGCCTAAAAGGTGCCATGCGGCCTTAGATTTCACTCAGAAGGCCCCATGAGACAGGTCAGTAAAAAAAGCTCACTTTGGAGGGCTGCTGCAATGCTCACAGTCTGTTCACGACTCCTCCTGGTCTGGGTCCAGAGAAAATTCTGGAAGCCTGCTCTCAGAAGTGGGGAAGGGGAGCTATTACTATGGCCAAAAAGTAGGACAGAGAAGTAACCTGCAGGGATCCCCATACTGCTAAGTGAGCCCTGGTGAGGAGCATCCCATCAGAGATCCCAAGACTCAGGGGAGACGGGAGGGGCCCACACCGGCATAGCTGCTCTAGTCAGGCCTGGAATTCCCACCCTCCCTCCTGCTTAGAGCAAAACCAGGATCAACTCAAAACTCAGCTCATTCTTTGACCACATCTTGACCATGAGTTAGTGCATGCACATACATGTGTGTGTGTATTTGGCTGTTCAGCATTTTCTAAGCTCTTTCTGTGCAACTAAACTTGGATCCTGACCACCCCTGCTCAAAAAGATGGCAAAAGCTACATTCCAATAATCAGAAGGAAGAAAGAATTCAAAGTTGCAAATGCAGATTTCAGTGGTCTGGAGAAACAGCAAGAGTGAAGGACAACATCAAGAGATTATTTTTTCTATAGCGACTGTTCTCCTGAGACTCGCTCTTTCTGCATTTAACCTTTCATTCTTGGGGTTGGAAAGAAACATACATTAAAACCCCAGCTTCATACACTGAGTTAAGTTCACAGCTAAACCCAGGCACCACAGGTCTTTTGAAACAGAACTATCCTCCTGTAACTGATTTTTCTGATTTGTAACTGAACCAACTCATATTCCCTTCTGATTAAATGCATGTTCTGCAAGAACCACATAATGAGGCAACTGTACGGTGAATACCGTGTGTGGTTTCAGTGGGAAATCAATTGCATCCAGAAGCTGATTTGTAATTACTCTCATCACAGGGATTACTTCCATAATGAAGAGTTCCTCCTGGTCCTGTGTGAGAAAAAGGAAAAGTCACAAAGTCGGTCTTACCACACACGAAACTCTCTGGCAACACCAAGAAGATGCTGTGGCCCTTCAATGACTCAGGGTGGGCACAGGTGGCTGTCACAAAGGCTTGCAGCATCCTGCTTGTTAACCACAGGGGCAGCCACTTCAGCTGGCAATCACATAGGAAGCTGTCACTGCTGATATGGCTGAAAGAAAAACAAAAATGGATGTTTCCAGTATGGCTGCAAAGGAGGGATATATTCTCTTTATACACCAAAGATTCAGTCACCTCCAGTAAGCTTCTCATGTAAACAACAGTAAGCAGGTGTGCATGGTGGGTGGGTCATGCCTGGAATCACGCCTGGAGGCAGGTGGATTGCTTGTGTTCAGGAGTTTAAGCCTAGCCTAAGCCAGAGCGAGACCCTGTCTCTAGTAAAAATAGAAAGCTAGCCAAGCTTAGTGGAAGATGCTGCCCTCTGTCTCAAAAGAAAAAATAAAGCAAGCTAGAAGATGGGGGGCGGGGAGGGGAGGCAATCTTTTTCACAGTTTTTTAATGACCCAAGACCAGTGCACATAACCATATAACCCACCTAGAGATTTTGATAAAATGCAGTTTCTCACTGAGTTAATCAGAAGTGGAACCCAAGATTCTTCATGTCTAACACACTGCCAGGTGGTGCTAGCACCTCTAAGGACCACATCTTGAGGAGCAAAAACCTGGAGTTTCCCCATGTTCTAAGATAGACACTTGTTCCTACATGACTCCGGACATACCTTACACCTTTCCTGGCCTGTGATACATCCAGCAGGTAAGTGGCCACTGTCCCACCCCTTCTCTGGTTTTTCCCACTTTCCCAATAAGCTACTTAGAGCTTCCAAACTCAAGAGTGTATTCAACTTCTGTAACAAGTTCTGAAAAGGGCTCTTTTCCTATATGGCTGTTATGTTTCGATTGGCAAAGCTGTATGTTTCCTTACTTCCAAATGTAAGCCTCGCCAACAGGCTGCCCTCTTGCTTGTTGTGTTTATCTCAGCACCAGCCTTGTTCAGGAGGCCAGCAGAATTCGGCTCTGCTCCCTAAATAGTGCTTGTTAGTTAATTGCCACTGCCCAGGGAGCATGAGAATGCACAACTTTGGTTTTGTGAGGCTCCAACCAAAACAGACAATATTTTCTTTCTCATTTCTCAGCAACTGAGGATAAATTTTTAAACAGAAATCCAAATCACCATCTCAGTGGACATTCCTTCCTGAGGAGTCACTTGAAGATAAGTCAACCAGAGTCTAGCTGCCCTGTTCCTGGAAGACCTCAAGGCTCTGAGCTGAAGAGTGACGGCCAGCACATCAGGTGAGGGGAGACCCCAAGATGACCAGGTTTCCCTGTAACAAAGTGTCTCTGATATGCAGCAACACGAAGTGGGTGCAGGTATGCTTAGAAATGTGACAAAACCATCACGTATGGCAGTAGCCACCTCCTGCACTAACCACTGTCAACAAAGCCACCCAATGAACTGACTTCTTGTGTTCTATTTCACTCTGGCCTTTTAATGAGCAGAGGAGCTGTCAAACTAGTGAACAGCAAAGAAGAATGAAATTTAAGCCAGATACCCATGGCTTTACCCATTAGGCAAATCTCTTCCCTTCCCTCCTGTTCCTCCTCTCCCTATTCCCAGATGATTCAAGAATCTTATTGAAATAATTTTGTAAATTGATTTTCCAAAGACTGAACTAACTTACTTCAAAACAGTTCTAACTGGAATGCTAACTGGTAATAGACCTTACAATGAGCATGAGATTTTTGTATTTTTATGTAATGGGCAGGTAGTGTTCTGCTGAGAGTTATCTGGAGGGTTATCCTGTTGAGTTACCGCAGGTGGCAGAAGGGCCCTCATGGCTAATCAGGAGAAAACAGCCAATTCCAATGCAACACACAGGGAGGGGAGCTTCCCAAGAAGGAGTCTGTGAGGTGGCTGGGGAGGATGTCCCAGGCACCAGGGACTCGGCAGCCTCCCACTGTCAGAGCACTTCCAGCTCCCTATCAAGAGGGTGTGTTTCTGGCGTGGATGCGGAGAGAAAGGAACACTTCTATACTGCTGATGGTAATGCAAGCAAATACAATCTCTTTGGAAAGAAGTTTGGAGAATACTCAAGGAACTAAAAGTAGACCTACCATTTGACCCTGCAATTCCTCTACTAGGGATATACCCAGATGATCAAAGATCATTTTACAACAAAGACATTTGCACCAGAATGTTTGTTACAGCCCAATTCGTATTTGCTGAGACATGGAAACAGCCCAAGTGCCCATCGACCCAGAAATGGATCAACAAATTATGGTATGTGTGCACCATGGAATACTATGCTGCCATAAAAAAGATGAGGACTGCACATCTTTTATGTTTACCTAAGAACATACACTTCTTAGTAAAATATCTCTAAAGTGGGGGAAAAAGTATCCAATATACTCAATACTATTATGAAATCAATATATAATCACCTACATATTCATATGAATGGTAAAACATATAGTCCAGAAAGTAGAGGGAAGGGGGGGGGGGGGTAGGAGGAGGGACGATATTTGGGGGAACCTCACCTAATGTGCATGATGCAATGGTACATTTCAAAACCATTAAGAGAAGAGTATAACTGTCATACCACAACAAATAAATAAGGGAGGTGATGGATGTGGTACTCAGTTCAATGTAAGCATTTCACATTGTGTATTAAATCAATATGCTATACCCCATAAATGCATCAATGTACACAGTTATGATTTAATAAAAAATTTAAATAAATTTAAAAAGTAAAAAAAAAAAAAAAGAGGGTGGTTCCACATTGTCAAGCAAGATAACTTGGGCATTGTAGGCAAACACTCAGAGGCAGCTGCTGACCACCACTGTGAGACTTTATGCACTTAACGTAGAACCAGGGACATAACTTAAGCCACAGGAACAAACTGGGGAAAACCAACTTGACATTTATCCTTGATCAGATGTGTGTGGAAAGGGGTAAGCCTCACAGTGTACATTCAGTGGATTGGTTGGGCTTTACGCCTTTGAGGATTTCTTGCCTCTGATGAAACTTGATGAAACCCACCTTAGGATACCAGACCCCAGAAAGATGGTAGTTATTTGGAGTGGAGAGAAAAGGACAGATAGGAGGGACTGGGGCCAGACAGCAGTGAAGGCACTGAGCCCTGACCGCCCCCAGCGCATACACGCCATTACTATAAAGACAAAGGCTAGGTGGGCAGACTGGACGGTGGGGCTGTGGGCAGCCCTGGCTCTACACACACTCCTGCTAATCTCCCATCAATGCAGAAAGCACAGCCTTGTCAACAGCCCACAGGCGCTGCCCTCAGTGGCTCATGTCTCCAGCCATCCCAATCTTCGCTGGCTCACATGGTTATGTTTTCACAATTCCAACTCAAAGTGTGTTTCTAATCATTGCCTGTGGAAAGTTACCCAGAGGATGACTAAGTGCACAGCACAACCTGCCTTGATCCGATGGGGAGAAGAAAATGACCAAGTGGAATTAACCATTTCTCCCAGCAGAGGACTGGGCCCAGGGCCAGCCCCAACTGGGTATGAGCCGAGGCTGATGGGAAACCCAGGCAGGGAACCGAGGCTGAGCCTCCAGAATCATGCAGAGGCACACTGGGGGAGGCCCAAGCTTCTGGAAGGGTCCAGCTCTTCCTGAGTAGAAACAGTCTCTTAAGAGGCCATAAGGAAAATCTTTTTCCCCCTCCATCCCTCAAAATACTCTCTTCCCATTGAATCAGGTATTTTTTACTCCTAATATTGTATTTGAAAGTTTCAAAGTCAGAAAAGTTAAAAGAACTCTATGGGAATGCCCACAAACCCACCACTTGTCTTTTGCAATTTATGTTTTACTCTATTTTATCACATATCCATCCCCTCATCTAGCCTTCTCAAGTGGTCTAGAATTGTTTCCTCTCTTCCCTAGAAGGGCAGCAGGGGAATCCCTTCTTGTTAGTACATCCTACCCAGATAGACAAAAGCAGAACTGTAGGGCTGAAAGAGCTACAGGGACTGCACCCCATTTCCCTATTCCTACCCTCCCTGCCGAGGGTCCACCAGGAGTGGCTTCAGCATGGGGATGAGGTCAGCATGCAAAGACCACCCTCTGGCAACTGCCATTTTGTCAGCACCTCTAAAAAGCTAGCTATACCATCAGGGAACTGATAAAAGCTAAAACTTACTGGCTGCAGAATCAGATTCTTGTCCAGGAAAAAGAAAGGAAACATGGGTGTTGCAACCAACGCACCTCGACTAGCTCCTCTTCGAACCTTGGCACCCAAGAGCCCCTGGTTAATGTCTATGATGGTGCCATTACCTATAACCCTTTCTGGGGGCTTCGCAGAGGTGTGGGGTGGGCACCCCCATGCCAATGAGCACTTGCTGATGTCTCTACCCTACTCACAGCCCACCAGCTCTTCACCAATGGAGGGCCTTCACTTTAGGCAAAGTGAAAACTTGTCCTTGACATAAGTAAATGGGTGATTATCCACTTCATAAAAGATACTTTATTTCACATTATCTACTTAGAACAGTAGTTGGCAAACTATCTGCTTTTGTCGATATGAACTATGGGCACGCAGCCCCACCCACTTGTTTATTATTTATGGTTGCTTCCCACTACAGCAACACAGCTGAGCAGTCAAGACAGAGACCCTGTGCTCTACAAAGTCCAAAATGTTTACCGTGCGGCCCTTTAAGAAGCTGTTTGCCAGCTCCTGAACCAGAATAAGCCCCACTTATTGTAAGGACACTTTTGTAAGGACAACACTTACATAGGTGCTATAAATGATCACAGGCCTTATGTAAAGTGAGAATAAAGCAATCACAGGTGTATCTTATTTAAAGTCTCCACTCATGTTAGACCCACAGAAGTCAGGTACTTACAGCTCCTTAAGATTCTTCATCTTCACAAAGGCATCAAACTGGACAGACCTGATTGCATTCTCTCCAAGGTTCCTGAAACAGAGCATGTTACTCACACAAAGAAAACCATAGGTCCAACCCTGGACAGCACTGCTTTCACAGATGACCCATGCTCCCTAGCCAGCCATGGGACCCAACTCCACTGCAGATGGCTGTCATTCATACATGTTGACACAAGCCCAGGGATACCTCTGGAACCAAGCCAGCCTTAACGGCAGCATCAAAGCAGGTTGAGGTCCACTCTGTACATCAACACGCAAAACCTTCACAACACGATTAAGGTCAAACTTGATCCAAAGAAGGAATAAATTAGGAATCATATACTAGAGGCATCTGCCCCACAGGGCAACAGCCTGTATGTCTCAGGGTGGCTTTGTCCCCTTCGTCCCAGGGTCTTAGGAGCAAGCACACCAGAAGGAAAGCTCCTGTGGAGTCCACATGTGTATCACACTGTCTAGCTGCTTTTGTGGGGGTATCAGGCTCAGGCAGGACGAGGCGCCTAATGGAAGCGGCCACTGCCCAGGGCCCCAGGAAGGAGCCAGTGTAGTGGGGAGGCTGCACGGTGGGAGGGTGGAAGGTATTTATACACATACCAGTTGTACTAATTGGGAACACACCAAGTGGCCATATGTTCTGTAACTGTTCCTGGCATAGGCAAAATAAAGGCCAAAGTTGAAGCTGACTTATAATGAGAAGGAAGCAGCTGGTCTTTCCAAATAGCCTGTTTCTCAGTTTACAAAGATGCGATTAAATTGCTAGCAGACTTCCCCGGCAGTTGCACTTGGCAGTCTGCATGTTAGGCAGGGTCTGGCAAGATACTCACAGGTGCTCCAGGCCTTCCAGCCCTGAGAATGCTCGCTTAGCCACAGACTTGATCTTATTTCCAAACAGATTCCTGTAGTTTCCAAACATTCAGAAATGTTGCAGGGGGGAGGAGGAGGAGAGAGACAGACAAGGGAGGGTTGGGAGAAAGAGAACACACGATTAGGGTACTGCTACCTGAGAGGTTTGTGCAGTGAGGGGCAGGTGGAAAGCTGACCTGTGCAGAGATTACAGGTCTGGGATATGAGCCCTCCCCCTTTCTGAAATGAAACACTTTTATCTTTACTAGAATTTAATAGTGAAGACAGGTTGGAATTGCATGTACCATCTGGCCTAAAAAGGGACCCGCAGTGTGAAGTAGGAAGTCATCGTGTCCATCCTGGGCTCTCTCTAAGGACCACCCAAGGGGGTGTGGGGGTAAAGTTTTGTGATGGCCTCACAGGAGAGAGGGGATTGGTTACTGATTCAGTGAGAGGAAGCTGAGTCAGAGAAGGTACTATGGAAAACCGTGAAATTAAAACTGCCACCTACTTCTGAGACCTACATTTTGGGGATAAAAGTTTCCAAAAGAGGTAAGAAGAAGACAGGAAAATGGGTACTCATCGGGTGGCTGCATGGCTGTTGGGCAGCCAGCATGCAGGTACGATGAGCTGCATCTCTGTCTGATTCAGGGCCTGTAGAAGGCCCCAGTGCTTTGGCCCCTTGAGCCAGACCCAGATTTTACGTGATGTTAATGGGGCTGAGGCTTATCGAATCTCACAAAGACTGGTCCAAAAAAGACAACCTCCAAGTTTATCCCCCTGGACTGCCTACCCATGAGGAGGGGCTCCTGCTTCCAGGCAGTTCCAATCCCAACCTTAGCAGCACCTATTAGAGTTTTCTCAGAAACCTAAGTCTGTCCCTTGTAATACACATGGAAGAACTGAGTGCTTCACTGGGGCTGAATAATGCAGGGAGGTTTGTCCCTAAATAGGGGAGGTCCTTGAGTGTGCTGGAATAAAGGGCATCAAGTTTTTCCTCCTTGTGTTCAGTTCTCTGAGAACCCACCAAAGGCACTCCCTCTGGACTGGCTGGCACAGGAAGCTGCCTGCCAGGGAAGCACTCTCAGTGCTGCTGCCCAGCAGCTACAGGGACTCACCAACTTTAAGGTCTGCCAAGATTACCTAAAGGGCTTGCTAACTGCTGAGACACTGATTGCTGGGAGCCAACTCCTGGGATTCTCAGAATTAACAGGTCTAGCACAGGACCTACTGGCAGCAATGTGCAGGTGGGCAGGGGAGAGGCTTGTGCTGATAGCCAGTCTGGGAATGCCTTGTCCAGGAGCCCATTGACAATGAGCCAGCTCTACCTTCAACCTGCATTAAGACTGGGACCCACAAAGGAAGACAAAACGCACCAGTCCCTCCCTGAAAGGAAGAAAAGAAATGAAATGTGAGCCCTGAAGAAGACCGAACATGGCAGCACACCCTGGCCCTCGCCCACCACATGCCCGAGCTTCATCCTAATTGCAGTGGGCTCGGGAGTGCCTGGGCAGGTGCAGGAGGCTGCCTCCCCAGACACATGTCCACCCAGAGCCACAGGAGGAGGCAGTGGCTCAATCTGCTCCCATGGGCCTGCCAGACGCGTAGTCCCCTTGGGGGGTGCCTCACTGCTGGGGCTTCCTGACTCTCAGTTTCATCAGAAACAAGACTCCTTCCTGGGGGCCTTCATTTAGGCATACCCCTATGGTAACTATGAGTTCAGCCTTCAGAGAAAACCAGCTCTGTTTCCTGTCTCCGGAGGCTGAAGGGGCAAACAGGCCAAAGACCCTTCAGCCTTTTCTCTCTCTGAGAGGCAATCCGCATGGATGTGCAAACAATTTCAGTCTGAAATGATTTTTTGCAACCTCTCAGCAGGAGCTGAAAACTTATTTTAAGACAAACAAACCAAACACACAGACAACCCAGTGGCCATGTGAACTTAGGCTCCTCAACCACAGAACTAGCCAGCAGATTACAGCTCATGGGGCACTAAACCCCTGAGCACTCCAGAGACCGCTGCCAACTTCTACACTTAATCAGATCCCCCAGGCCGAGGCACTGCAGGCTCCAGGTCCCAGTAAAAACGTATTGAACTGTTTAGTGAAATCTCCCGTAAACTAGATCCAGGAAAAAGCTGTGCTTTATTTCATCCATTAAATATTAGTCACATTGACCTCTTTTACAATGAGGGCATGCTGTTATTTCTAATGGTGACAATAGCAATAAAACAAATTCTCAAATTCTCAATTATGCAGGGGCTAATCATCCTGTTGGTGGATTAAATTGGTCCTTACCCTCCCCAAACAGACATCTGGAGCTGGGGGAGGAGCTCAGGCCAGCATCCAGGATGGCTCTAATAAAGGCCTGCTGGAAGGAAAAAGGAGAGCTGTAGCTGTGGGCTGGGAGGACATTCTTTCTGTCCCACAGCCGGGGTCCCAGGGAAGGGACAGCCAGCCTAGTCTCCTCAGCACCAACTTAGAGCAGACAGCAAGCCAGGAGAGTCACCTGTCAGACCCTCCCATCCACCACTCCCCAGCCCAGCCAAGGGCTCTCAGGCTGCTCAGCGTGTGACGCAGTGATGGCAGGCACGGGGGCAATGCTAAGGCGGACATGCAACCCCTACAACAAATCCCACTCTGCAAGCCCAGCCCCACCCAGGCTTTGCCTCCTCATCTAGTTTTGCACATTCCCCCCAACACAAGCACGTCCCTCACACTGCCCTATGTGGGGCTCCACCCCTCCCCAGGAAAGCCACCAGCGAGCGGCAAGGACTGTCAGGCAGGCACCTGCACACACACAAGTCACTTGCTGCTCCTCCTCTGCCTGTAATTTGAGCTCCAGAAATCCTCCCTTCCCCCTTACATACTGACTCTGTGCATTATGCAGGCTCCCAACAGGAAACCCTATAACCATTTTGAAACGGGCCTCTCTCAGGGCAGAGAGGTATTAATATAAGAATCCTGGGCAAACTTGGAAGAAAGGCAGGAGGTGGAGACTAAGGCATTCTTGCCCTGCTCGGAGGGTGCGGCCTAAAGAACTCGTCCCGGTGACCGTGTTCAGCAGGTGGAGCCCACAGGCGGCACCGGCCCAGGCCTCTTGGAGTGGCCTCTGTGTCTTCCTGCTCCCCTTCCCAGGAATGCTGCAACTTAGGTCTGGCTTCTCATCTGGTGGAAAGGATCTCAGATCCTTGACTAAGTCAGTGAAGGCAAGAATCTTTCCCTTCTCAAGAGGCAGATCCCTGAGCACCAGCCCCTCAAGCTCGCCACAGCAAACCCAGAGAGGACACTGGTTGCCAACTCTGCAGGACGGATCAGGGCATCTGACATGGCAGCTCAGGAGCCAGCCCTTCTCACTGCTGACACATGCCCCACTTCTCAGTGGACCCCACAGACTTGGTACTGGGCCACTGACATGGGGTAATACAGTGTTGTGGCTGCTTCTCCAGCCACGGCACAGAGCTTTCCCAGAGGAGTCCTAGGAGACTAGGTGGAGAAGGGACCAAAGCAGCACTGGGTCCTCCCTCTTTCCCTCCCTCCCACACACCTACCATATGTCAAACACAGTGGTTTATAACTAGGCCTATGCACCTGGATCATGTGGAAAACATTTACTTTTTTTGTTCCCTTTTAATGTGGAAATTTCCACACAACATTGCAGGGAGATGGCAGAGTCTCACGAACCCCATGTGCCTATCTCTCTAACTGTGCCAGTCTCGTTCATCTCCACCTCTACACACAGTTGTTCCCTAACACAGGTGGATTAGCTGAAAGACGAACCGTAGTCATCACATTATCTACTTTTTTATTCAAGAAGAAAAGGATTTTTTCTTTTGCAACCTAACTGTGATGCCATCACACTTAAATAACTGACAACATATATTTAATCAAATTAAGGAACTCCTGTCATTGTCCTAATTTCTCCTGTGTGTATGTATCTCTCTCTCTCTTTTTAAAACACAAACAGAGCCTCTAGCCCTCTAGCACTAAGATTCTGATTCAGAGAAGCTGGGTGGGGTAGGGCTTGAAACCCTGCATTTTAACAAGTTTCCAGGGATCTCTGGACTGGGTCAGTGTGGAGACACTACTTTAATGGAGGCCATATCAACCAACACATGAGGAAAATAGGTTTGGGCTGACTTCTTGGGTTCAGACAGACTCACTGAACCGAGACTAGTAGATGGAAGTGGGCACCAATACCAAGGAGCAGAGAGCAGGCCCTTCTTCCGCTGGCAAGGAAGTCTCCTGATAGCACAACACCCCAAAACAGCTCAGGCTCCATTGGGAGGACATGCCCCACGAAGAACCTGGCTCTCCCCACCTTTACTCAGCAGTCACTCATGGCCAAGGCCAGGGGAGGCCTATGCCAAGCTGCTTCCACCAAGCAGCCACATCCTGAGCCTGAAGCTCAGCTTGCTGACAACTGCCTGCACCCCAGCTCCACCTGCTCCTAGCGCTTCCAGGCTCACCATGGTCAAATGGGCCAGGAGGTTGAGGGAAGGGGAGCATTACTTTAGGGATAAGAAGAGAAAAGCTGATAAGCATTTCTGACATGCCATCAGAGCACAGGCAGCTCAAGATGAAATGCAATCCTCAGACAGACAAAATGGTTTTTCCCAATCAGTACACTCCTGGTATAAAAAGCGTGAAAAGCCACATTTTTGTAAATACATCAGAAGCATTTACTTTTGTATACAAAAAGGCTCTCCCCACTGAGGGCTTTCCTAAATCACCCAGCTCTACTAGGACTCACAAAATATTACTTTGTATTTGCACTCTGCTCAGTTCCCTGTCACTGAGGATGGGTTGGGGAACTGAATGGTAGCAGACAGCTGTTTGTCTTGTTCTCCTCCTGTTCATCTCCAAACAGTGATTACTCCAAACCCTCTCCCACCCGCACCTTTCCTAGGTGGCATCTGCAGAAAGTGCTGGTGAGATGCAGAGAAAACAGGGCAGGCCAAGGGACAAAGAACATGGGCTCCAAAGTGAGAGTGACAAATCCTGACCTTGCCCGCTTGCCAGCTGGGTAGTCTCAGTAAAAGTAGAAATGCCTTGATTTTTCTTTCCTCAATGATTAAAAAAAGGCTACATACAAATCCCTGGAGATCATGAGGTGTAACACACATGACATGTGATTATAAGAATAACTGGCAAATCCTAGGGACTGGGGTCAAAAAGGCCCTAAATCTTAAATTCAGAATAGCTATTACTATTACACTTTGTAGTGACTATTTCCATCTGAGATCATAATTGACAACAAAAACATGGACAGGGCCTCAACACTATCAAGCCATTCAGCTTTACATAAGTCGTACAACTTCTAGAAATCGAGTAAGAGGGCAAGACTCCTTTATACAAAGGACAACAAAAAGTTTAACTGTTTTGACATCATTTGCAAACTGAGCCTAAGAGAAGCTCTACTAGGCCACTGAACACCCGGTCTTCAGCCCCAGAGGCCCCAGTGCCCAGGAGAACAAGAAAGGAGGCTCCTGCCAACAGAGAGCGGGGAAGTTCTCCACTCTTGTCTTCAGTCTCTTCTCCCCAAACAAAACATCTATACGATGGCAGTGAGGGATGGGGGGCAGGGAGTGATTTACACGGAGCCAGCTCTGCTCTGTCTGGGCCCGGAACAGGGATGTGTGCGGGGCACTGCAGGAGCATCCTTGCACGCCATGGAGCTCCACGCTGGGGATACTCACAGCTTACTGAGGCTGTCAAGCCCTGTGAAGGCACCACTTGTGTCCTCTATTGTGCCTGAAATCTCATTATGGTCCAGATCCCTGGGAAGAGAACAGAACGCAAGCTCACTGCTCAGTGTGAGCATGAAAGGGGCACCAGGCACCCACCCAGCCTGCCACTTGGAAGCTGCAGTCAGCTAGATGAAGCCTAGAAGCCCAGCTGTAAGTACGAGGGACAGAAGTGTGGCCCTGGAGGAAAGTCCTGTTCTACACACATTCCAGGGTGGCCAGGCCTGCTCTACCTTTCAAAAAAGCTGACATTCCTCAAACATAAAGCTTCTAGCTTGGTGCCCATAGCTCAGTGGTTAGGGCACCAGCCTCATATACCAGGGCTGGAGGGTTTGAACCCAGCCTAGGCCTGCTAAACAACGACAACAACAACAAAAATAGCCGGGTGTTGTGGCAGGTGCCTATAGTCTCAGCTACTTGGGAGGCTGAGGCAAAAGAATCGCTTAAGCCCGAGAGTCTTGAGGTTGCTGTGAGCTGTGATGCCACAGCACTCTACCAAGGGCGACATAGTGAGACTCTGTCTCCAAAAAATAAAAATAAAAAAACCACAAAGCTTCCCCAGGTTCCATCTGCTGCTTCCTGTCTGAGAAGGCCACGCTCTGGGAAAGGGAGGCAGCAGAGAGAGGCTGGTTTGTCTTCTACCCTCATGGAGCATTAATCTGGTCCCTGGCACCGAGCACCAGTCTGAAAAGTTCCTTAAGATTCCCATCTGCTCTCACACCAACCAAAGTCCCTTCTCTGGACTTGAATAAGAAACTGTGGAAAGCATATGGAGGAAGAAAGGATGGTAAAGAAAAAGGCCCCAGCACAGACCCTCTTGGGGCCCCTCTGTGCTGGCTAGTGGGTGTGAGCCCAGAGCTCATCTCCCCCCCAGGCCTGCACAGCGCAGACTCAGAGCCAGTGAGGACATCTGGGTGCTGAGTCAGACTTGTGACCCACTCGCCAGGATTGGGGAGATGAGGCCAATTCCTCAGCCCAGGCCCCAGCAATAATGCAAATCCCAAGGCCAGTGAATCAGTGGCCTCCCAGCTTCCAAGGGTGGGTCACCGTGCCCAGGTGAGACATCACACCTGGCATCCAGGCCCCCAATCTATCCACTCCAACTTTTCATAAGGTTCTCGGTTCCTAAACTTTCCTTTCTCAAGCTCCTACAGACAGGGGCCAGGAACAGAAAAGGATGCTGCTCTTGGCCCCCATGAGAACCTTCAGAAAGACTCCATGCTGCCAGTGGAAAGGGAGGGGAGCTCTGACTGGAGAGGGAAATAAATGCTTTGACCTTTACTTTATAGCCGGAAGCTCAGAGCTGAGATTTTGCTTCTGGAAGGAACTTCTTTCAAAGGGTTCCTCCCTATTATCTTCCTACTGAAAAAACCAGGGACCGGGTCTGTGGCTTTGTGTGCCTGTCTCCCTGCTCCTAGTCCTGGCTGCCAAAGTTTTTCTCTTCTTTCTGGCCGCTCGGTCTGAATGTTCTCAGGCTTGTTATTCAGGCCTTGTGAGGGTTCACAGGCTGACCCTGCTTGAATAGCTTGGCTCCCTACTCTTTCACACTCCCAACAATGGCTCTGCATTAGAGCCGACTGCCAGGTGCAAGTGCAGAGGCCTTTCTCTCTGTCACATGCCTAGGAAGGTAGCCTCTGAGCCCACTGCCCCTATCTCCACTACCTCTTGGGGGGCTTTATGCTAACAGTTCCTTGGAAGTTCCCAGAGGCCAACAATGGAAGAGTTTTATAGAAGTCCCAGAAAAGCATCCTGCAGCAATTTCTGGCACCCCCACCTCATTAGGAATTTACAGGGAAATGGTATTATCACCTCAGCTTTGTTAAACAACCCCTAATGGGGTGGGGTACAAAGACCTGGATTCCCTAAGTACCTCTCCTGGAACAAGGCATCCTGGACATAGGGCATGCTGAAGATCAAGTGCTGGGACCAAAAGAGGAACTGAAATGTTCACTCAGCTTGGAGAAAAAATATTTGGGACTTAAAAATGGAAGTTGCAACTCCAGATTGGAAAAAATTGGACCCCCCAGCTGCTGTCCCATGCTCCGGATACTCTGGGAAGCTTTTCCTGACAACAGGGGGAGCACAGCAACCTGCTCAGCAGTGTGGCAGTTACCACTTGATAATAATTTATTGGGTACCACCCTGGGGGATAGGAGAGATTTTTCTGTTCAACCAGTTCTTTTTCTGTTGATTATAAAGTCTGAGATTTTGCACACATAACAAGTCAGCTTTGGATCCAATTCTGACACGAAGCCAATAAGAATGGACTTCAACCAAAGCAGCTGGTTTTCCCCACTGTGTTCTCCCTACAAGGGACCCTTTGTTCTATCAAGAGTGAAAGACATACAAGACTCGCAGGTTCTTGAGTCCCTTGAAGGCGCCTTCTGCAATGTGGCTGATGGCATTGTGGCTGAGGCGCAGTACACTCAGGCTGCTCAGCTCCGCCAGGCTCTCCTCATCCAGCCGTGTCAGGTTGTTGAAGGATAGTACCCTAAGAGGGTAGGGAGGAGGTCGGGGAGGCAATGTCACCACCGTGTCACACCTGCCTGCTCTCCCCTCTCCTCTCCTGAACACTGTGCCATAAGCCAGGCAGGTCTCAGTGGGAAAGGGACATATACACAAGCACATTCACACACACGCATGCACACTCCCACAGAAATCCCAAAGGAATCAGTGGTCATATAGCTAGAAACTCATCAGGGCCCAACATCCATCTAGCCTGACTCCAGAGGCCTGGAGTCAGCCTGGTCATGTAGGTCACAGACATAAGGGTGTCCATTCAACTGTGAGGATTCCATATGCCTGTGTTCACGGCTGGTCTTGATCAGCCTACAAAGACCTCCCATGGGAAAGGCCTGAGAATCTGGACAGGACCCCAGTGGGTTCTGACAGTGAGCCAGGGAGCCCCCCATTACTCTGCACATTGGCCAGCAGAGGGCACCACTGGCCACTGCCTGGGAAGCCACACCAACACCTCCCACTTTAGCCAGGACTGCAGGCTCTCTGGCCCAGGTGCCCTGTAGCCCAGGTCACCTCTGAGTATGACCCTGCTGGGAGCAGAAAAAACGACATACGTTGCCTGAGTGTCAGAATCCAACCTCCCTCCCAGCACTGCCACACTTGACATAGCCCTGGGTTGGTCACTTGACATACTGGTCACCTACCATTGAAAAATGGGTAATCTGGGCTAGGGTAGGAAAAAGGAAAATAAAGTCAGAGAAGATTAACGAGTTTTTAAAGGTAACGGGGACCAAATGGTCATGTTGTCCATCAGTCCCAAAGTCCTGGCAAGAGTACAAAATTAGATCCTCACCTGCAATTAAAGCATTTAGCTTAAAGGAGGGGTGGGAAACACACACAGGATAGCAATCCTAAATCTGGCTCCAAGGTCACCTGGATATGGGGCAACTGCTGAGACTGGCCAAGGTACCCTTCCATGACCTTTTATGCCCCTTCTAAAGGGCACAGAAGACAATTTCGTGTTGCCTACCAGCCAGAGTGGGGAGCTCAATCAAAGACCCGCCCTGGGAGGGACGACGCCTTTCCTGGACACTAAGGACTCACACACCCTCTGGCGGCCACAGAGAACAGCTGCTCCTCACTGTGAGAAGTGAGTCCCCAGGCTTAGGGGACTTAGAAGACCTCTCCTTCTTCCCCACAGCTCCCAGCCCTGGCCACACACAGGGTTCCTTGGAACTCACTACTGGGCTCGCAGCCTGAGGACACAGCTTCTCAGAAGCCACCCAACACTATGTGAAATGCACAGCTGCAGTGTCCTGCTGATGACCCCCAAAGGTTAACCCCAACACACACAAAACCCAAAGGCTGTGAGCCCAGGGACAAAGGCAGAGCTACCAGATATGGACTAATGGAATATAGCCTTTAGGCCCGTGTGGGCTCCATATGTGTATATGTGAGAGAGGAGGAGGAGGAGGGAGGGAGGAAGGAAGAGGACACAGAAAACCAGATAAACACATTATCTGTAAGGCTTCACATTCAGCTCAAACACTTCCTTGAGTTTGCCTGGTAAGGCCATGAGAGGACAGACTGCGGTGAAGTTTGGTACCCCTCACTTCAGCACGTGAATTTTTTCCTACAGCCAAGACTAGGAAAGGAAAAAAGAGAGAGAGAGCGAAAACCCACCTGAACTCCTGAAAAATAAAAACACCTTACTGGACTAAACTAGAATATCTCAAACTAAAAGAACAAACAGTGAAAATCTTTTCTTTTTCCCCTCCCAAAAAACTTGGTCTTTAGAACATGGGACAGAAACAGAGGAATGTGAGTGTATTCCCTGTGCCCCTGGAATGCTGTGATAACCCTGCCCTGGCTGGAGGGATGGCCAAGGCCACGCACCCTCTCACTCAAGAGTCTGTCACCACGATCTCAGAACCCTGGGTACTGCCAGCCCAGGAGTTCTCTGGCCCAACCTGGATGCCCCTTTGGAAACGTCTAAAAGGAGCAAACTTTCTGAGCAAACTTTCCTATACTTTCTGAGGGAAGAGTAAGCATCACCCAGGACTGCTGGGGAGTCTCCACGGCCAGGCTACTGCAGTGCAAACTGCGGGCTGGGCAAGTGGCGCCAAGGGCCTGGGCAGCTTTTCTCCAGGAAGGAAGGGGAAACTCTGAGGACACATAATTTGCCACTGTCACTGTGTGACCCTCTCTCCATTTCAAACCCACCAAATAACTCCTTTCACTAAAGAAGTACATGCTATTTGGTGTCATTAGCATAGTCATTCTCAAAAAGAGCTACAGTGTGGACACTTCTTTTAGCCACCCTTCCCCAAGATAGCCCTCTACCTCAGTCACTTCTCCAAACCCAAGAAGGCTTGGCCTTAGGGGCAGAGGTCCCCTGCAGGAGCCTGGGTGCTACTCTTGTAGCCCATACTAATCTGAAAGCAAAGGGAGCAGAGAGGAGATCAGAAAGGAGCTTAAGTTCAAATTGCTGAGAGTCCTGCTCTGGGTCTGACTAATTTGGGGGTCCATGCTCTGTCCAGCGCAGGGCTACTGGCATGCTTTCCTCTGAGCTTGCTTCCCACCCAAATCCACCCCACCCCCACCCCCGCCTGAGCAGGACTAGAGCTTTCTGGGCTTGGGAGAATTCACCTACAGGCAGCGTCTCAAAACCCATCTACAGCCCAGGAACTTACAACTCATGCAGCTTCTGGCAGAAGCTCCAGCCGTCACGGTGAATACGGGAGATGGAGTTGTTGCTGAGGTGAAGCTGGTGCAGGGCTGTGAGGCCATAGAGCGAGCCACTGTTCACTTCTAGCAGGCTGTTGTACTCCAGGTGCCTGCAAGGACAGCCACACGCAGGATGAAGGGGGGAACAGACAGCAAATAAGTAGACACTCCCTATCAGATACAGCAGATACTGTGATCAGCACCGAGGCTGTAGGAGTGCTCAAAGGAAATGGAGTGTGTGTGTGTGCATGTGCAGAAGTGAGAGAAGGCAAGCAAATCACAACAGATGATGGGAAGTGCCAAGGCAGACTAACAAGGCTCAGAGAGCAAGGGAAGCATCCTAGAAGCAACAGAGAATCAGGTGAACAAGCCGGCAGAGGCATTACAAGTCAGAGCAAAGCCTATTAAAGGAGCAGAAAGTTGAGAGAACAGGAGGCAACTCTAACTAGCACCCACATCTTAGAGAGATGAAACCAACAGCTGAGAGCAGCTAGGTGATTTGTCTGAGACTCCACACCTCTGCATGTATAATACAGTAAAGGGGCCAGAATGAATTCAAACCCAGCCCTGGCTTATAAGGCTGGGCTCTGGACTATTGTCCCAAAAGACCTGGCTTTAGCTCGGGGATCAGATGACTTAGATCAAATCCCTAATTGTGCCACTTTGCTGGCTGAATAAACCTGAACATCTGTAAAATGGAGATAATCAAGAATACTGACTTCACAGGGCCCCTTTGAGAAGGAAGCAATAAAGTGCATGTCAGGATTTTAGCACAGGGCTGAGGACTTAGTTCTCAATGAGTTTATTCAGTATGCTGTTATCCCGCATCACTGCATAGCACATGCTGGTCTATGAGAATTCTATCCTAGATGATTATACTCTTTAATAAAGGTTACTAATTCAGATTGTGCTCCATGTTCAATATTATAAGAGCTTTGAATAAATTTTTTTTTTCTGCTACTGCTCAAAACCAGTAATTTACAACTGTTACAATTTAACACTTAATTTACAAACATCCTCTAAGGCAGTAGTTTTCAACCTTCCTAATGCCGTGACCCTTTAATACAGTTCCTCATGTTTTGGTGACCCCCAACCATAAAATTATTTTTGTTGTTACTTCATAACTGTAATTTTGTTACTGTTATGAATTGTAATGTAAATATCTGATATGCAGGATGGTCTTAGGCGACCCCTATGAAAGGGTCCTTCAACCACCAGGTTGAGAACCGCTGCTCTAAGGCAACTCATCACTCCCAATTTATACAGATTTCTTCAATATAAAAACCAAATGGGTGCCAGGCACACTGGCTCACACTTATAATCCCAGCACTTTGGGAGGCTGGGACAGGAGCATCACTTGAGGCCAGGAGCTGGAGGCCAGCCTTGGCAACACAGCAAGACCCTATCTCTACCCAAAATAAGAAAAATTAGCCAAGTGGCACACACTGTAGTTCCAGCTACTTGGGAAGCTGGGGTGGGAAGATTTCTTAAGCCCAGGAGTTCAAGGTTACAGTGAACTAGGATGGTGCCCCTATACTCTAGCCTGGGATACAGAGTGAGACCCTTTCTCTTTTAAAAACAAAACCAAAAAACTAATGGCAGGTGCTAATTCCATTTTCTTCTGAGAATTCTCATCACATCCAGCATATGACCACCTGGATTTCAAAGTCCCAAATGATAGTTTTTTGTTTTGGGGGGTTTTTTGGCAGTTTTTGGCCGGGGCTAGGTTTGAACATACTACCTCTGGCATACAGAGTTGGTGCCTTACTCCTTTGAGCCAGAGGCGCCACCCCAAAATGATAGTTTTAAGGATGTCAAGTAAACATGTTTTGAATACATTAACAGCAGAGGTCCAGCCAAAGGCACAGGAGAGGGGAGTGGGAAGCCCAGCAGTGCCGGGCTCACATCCTTGCTGTACATTATGCATGGGAAGGGTGGTCACCTAGAGATGCCCGACAGCGAGCACAGCACAACACCTAGGACCTAGGAGATTCTCATTACAAAAATAATCAATAAAGGATATAATCTGCACAGCCTGGAGGGGAGATGGGGCTGCTGTCCTGGGCAAGTTAAATCACTGACTCTAAAACAGGAAAGTTGACAAGTAAAAATAGTGGTATAAGCATATGGACTTGGAATAACCACCAGTGAGATTAAAAACAGAAAAACCAAAAAGAAAGATGCTCAGAAGTGAATGCATCTTGGGAGAGCTGAGGTTAAGGGGGAATAGGGAATGGAAGCAAGCAATGACAGCTTTTCTTTACTCCTTAACTACGAGGATGCATTACTTCTGATTAGAAATAAACAAATTTTAATGTTTAGAAAGAGAAGATTAGCAAGTGCCTTTTCAGTATGCTTCTTTGTTATTGTTTTATGTTACACAGGCAGGCAAGCGCATTCTGCTATTGTACACATCTGGTTTAAAGAGAATGCTCCCTTGATAAAAGTTGAACATCTGCACCCATAGTCTTGATTAGCTCACAAGACAGAAATAAATCTCCTAGGGTGAACTATACATTTTTGGCCTACCTGCACATCAAGAAGACTGACAAACCCAAAATGAGAAGACAAAGAACTTCCTGTGGTGTGTGGGAGTGAAGAGGATGTGGGGAGGGGTCTATTCTGCAGTTCACATTCACAGAGGAAGCAGGGTAGATGTGGTAGGGTGGGGATGTAGGCCGAGCACAAAGGCTCCCTGCTCTACCTCCACCAACCAACTTACTTGACTTCATCCACTGAAACTTCCCCTAAGAGGACTTCCTACTCTGCCAGCAAAGCATCTAGGATTTAGCTCAGTCCCCAAAGACACTGATTAGGGGCCAGCTAAAGTCCCAAAGGATCCTTCAGGGCAGGGGATGGGTGCCCTACTCTCTATCCAGAGCTTAGCTGAATGAAAACACACACACACGTGGTGCACAGACAGATCATGCCTAAGGTCCTCCACTCCAGAGCAAAGCCAGGGCCTGGCCCCACACTTACAGCACATGCATTTTGGATAGTCCCCAGAAGGCCCCATCTGTCAGCTTGCTGATGTTGTTCCGCTGAAGCTTCAGCACCTCTAAACTATCGAGCCCCTGGAATGTGAGGCCCTCGATCAGTCGAATCCGATTCCGATTGAGATCCCTAAGGAGATGAAGTCAGTGGGGTCAGAGCATCCCAGGCATACACCCCACCTACAACCATTCCCAGGCAGTCCCAGCTAGGTTTCCAAGCCAGATGGGAAATCCCAGTACAGTGGTCCCTGGAGAGCCAGAATATATAAGGGGTGCCCACTGTAAATCTCCTGCCTGCCACTGAGGCACTGATGCTGCCAACCAACAATGTGTGAAAGAGGGGCACAAGGACCCCCGCAGCCAGCTCAGAGGCCAGGCCTGCAGATCCCAGCACAGAACTCATGTGATCCTTTGCGTTCCTCCCTGGTAGCACCACACCATCCATGACTGTTCAGCGAGGGCGTGGGTCTGACCCAGGAGATGGACATCTTAGGTGAGCAACAGAAATCCACACCAGATGCCTGGACCCAGGAAAAGCCAAACCACTGTATATCAAATGGCAATCACGTGTTCTACTTGGGGCCTTTCGCACCATCTCTATGTGTGGGGAAAAATTACCGCATGCGGGGGTCGGGGAGCATACATATTTGGCTTCTAGCGCCAGCATGACAAAGCCTCAGTTAACCACGAAATGCCAGGAACCAGGGTGGGCTGGATCCTTAGCAACCCTGGGGCGGGCAGAGAGAACATGGGGCTAACCAGAAAGCCTCTGGTTTTCCCTAAATATTTGGGCACTGTCTCATCCTGGTTGTCAATGAGCCCATCTCCTCAGCCTAGAAGGAGCAGAGCCCAGGAGTCACTATCAGGAGGAGAAGCACAGGCAGGGGAGGGTCGAGGTGCACTCCGTCTTGTTGCCGCCCCACACCTCCATGATTTGTTTTGCTCTGTTTTGACCAAATTTCCAATATTGGCTTATTTTCCTGAAATATACTCTTCTGATAAAGGACACACACAATAAAAACAGGAGAGGAAAAAAAAGAAAGACCTTCATCAAGTTCTAGTTAATAGAGATTTTCTTGAATCCAAAGCTGTGTGTGTCTAGGAGGGCACTCAGTCTTGATCATGAAAAAATTAAACAAATAAATCCTTTGTGAAGAAAAATATGTCTTGGGAATGACAGGAGGAAAAATATAAAAATAAAATAAAATAATAAATCGACTGCCTTATAAGACTGACGAGAGGAAGAAGAAGGCCCACCTCTTGCTTGCTACCTCTGGCTATACTAACTTCCTCTCAAACTGCTCAAGGAAGAGTCAGATAACACCACATCCAAGTACAGATTTTACAGGGACCTTTTAAAAATAGACTAAAACCTCTCTGATACAAACCCAGGCGGCCTAAGCACTAGCCAGCATCGGGCTGGCCAGCAGAAATCCTCATCTCGTTTTGGAAAATGTCAAAGAAGACAAGTATATATAAACTCAGTGCATCTTTTTCTCAGCAATCTGAGGCAGCCCATGAACAGCCCAGACCAGCTCCTAATTTGCTTTTATTAGGTGTTGCCATAGGGCCGTTAACGATAGTTTATACCAAGCTATACCAAGGGGGGGACCTAGGAAGGGGTCAGGTTTGGTACCAGGTCCTTGGGGAAATCGGGCCTCCATAAAAGTTTGTCTAGCCTTAATTAACATGCAGATTTCTGTACTCACAGTTGTGTCAGCCTGGGTAACTTGAATGCTTTTACAGGAAGCTGGGTGATCCTGTTTTTGCTCAGGCGAAGAGTTAGCAGTGACCGTGACAGACCATCAAATGCTCCTGACTCCAGGGTGCCAATTCGGTTGCTGGCCAGGTTGCTGGAATGGTTCAGAAAGAAAGTATAGTGGTCCGTAGGAGGCCTTTCTCATTTTGTTACAGACACTAGACCTGGCTGGCTCTCGGTGGGACAACAAGGTGAGACACGCCCAGAGGGATAGGCTTCCATGGGGGAAGCCAGAGCACTAAGTGAAGGTGTCAGGACTGTGCAGTTCAGGCTGGGAGGGACCTCCCTTCAGCGTACTGCACCTGCAGCTGCTGGGCCATCCCAACAGGCTGGAAGAGAACGCCAAACACCTCCCCCCAACTAACCCCACCCCAGCCCTGCCTCAGGGGCCACCTGGAGGAGTCCTTCCTCACCACTCTGCCCAAGGTTGATGAGGAGGGCCCTAGAAAACCAGAAGTTAATCAAGAGGCCAGGACAGAGTCAACCTAATAATTTAGGGAAAGAGACTTTAATTTTGAAGTGGGTCTTGCTGTATGAATTACATAATACATATGTATAAACCAATTCATTTAAAATTTAATTAAGTAGGCAGTACCTGTAGCTCAGTTGGGTGAGGCACTGGCCACATACACTGAGGCTGGTGGGTTCGAACCCAGCCAGGGCAGCTTAAACAACAATTATAACTGCAATAAAAATATAGCTGGTGTTGCAGCAGGCGCCTGTAGTCCCAGCTACTTGGGAGGCTGAGACAAGAGAATTTCTTAAGCCCTTAAATTGAGGTTGCTGGGAGCCATGGCTGCACTCTACTGAGGGTGACATGGTAAAACTCTGTCTCAAAAAATAAAAAATAAAAATGAAATGAAATGGAATGGAATGAAAAATTTAATTAACTTATTTAAGACTGAGTCTCACTCTGTCACCCCAGGTAGAGTGCTGTCACATCATCACAGCTCACAGCAACCTCCAACTATTGGGCTCAAGTCATCGTCCTGCCTCAGCCTCCCAAGTAGCTGGAACTATAGGCACCTGCCACAGCTAATTTTTCTATTTTAGTAGAAATGAGGGTCTCACTCTTGCTCAGGCTGGTCTCAAACTCCTGAGCTTAAGCGATCCATCTATCTGTCTTGGCCTCCCAGACTGCTAGGATTACTGGTGTGAGCCACTGTGCCTGGCCCTTTTAATACATTTTAAATGCCTCAAAGAAACAATCTAGTTAGAGACCTGTGCAGAATCCCTTTAGAAAACAAGCAACACTTCATGTGCTTCCACTTATGGGGTGACGAATGTCAGGGCATTTACCACCATAGCGCAGAAAGGTAGGCCCTGTTCCTCAGAACACAGTGAAGTGTACAGCTCAGATCTGTGCTTTTCTTTGCATGCAAATTATTATCAAGTAATAAAAACAAAAGGAACAATATGGTATTCCTAGGAGAAGTTACTTCTCCCCCTCAACACCTCTCCTTCTGCCTCACCCTTTTGGGGGGAGGGGGAGGAGGCTAAAAGAAAAGGAGAAAGAGCAGGGACATTTCCTGCTGCTGAGAGTAGAAAGGAACAAGGCACTTTTCGTCTCTACATTAGGCAGTGACCCAGAACAAGGCACATGAGGATTCTTTGCACATCGGGCTGAACTGTTTGTTCCTAACACTCTGGATTAAAGAACAGCCTGAGTGATGAAGATATACCAGCCCATAGCTGCCAAGATAGAAAGTCCCTCCTGCTTTCATGCAGGGACAGAAGGTCAGTGCAATTCAGTTTAGCAGTTGTGGTTTCTCATCCCAAGCAGGCAGGTAGCAGCTGGGGACACCTTTCAAAAGACCCACTGGAGGCTTTGTAAGAGCCAGGGCCTCCTATTCCCAAATTCTGGCATCTCGATGAAGCCTAAGAAAGAAATTGCTCCTCTCCTTGGGGTCTTCACTTAGAAATTCTGTATGCCAAGCTGATCTTTTCTCCCTAAAAAGATCAGTCACAAGGACGCCTAAATGAGCCTTGCAAATGATTTCCAAAATTGCTCTGTAGCAGTAACAATGCAAGGAATGAAACCACACCTGTAACTAGACAATGCCTCTTTAGCTTGAATTTTCAGTTCCTTTCCCAAAGCAGTATTTTCCTACTAACAAGTAGTAGGTTAAATAGATTTTAACCTTTTTTCTTCCTGTCTTTCACCCACAGGAGATATATGAGATGTGGCATTAACATTGGGTGAAAGAGAAACAGACAAAAAATTCTAAGAGGTGCTAAAAGTCTACAGAATAGAGTAACTACCATCCCCCAAGAAACCCAATGACTTGTCTTAAGAGTGCAAGACCAGAACTGACAAGGTAAGCCT